CAATAACTTATGCATGATCCATATCAATTGGATACATCCCAGATAATAAAATTTAGGGTTTAGTTCATGAATCTAATTCAATATCACCGTAATGTTAAGTTATTATTAAAAAATAACTGTTGTTTGCTGAAGACCAAGCCCAGAAACGTTTTCATTGAATACTGTACAACTTCAGTTTAGAAAAAACTGATGTTTCAAATAAGAATGAATCGGTTAAACACTACTGTACGAATGAATGCAAATTTCTTTCTCGAACAGTGTGCTGGCTTTCCAGTAACGACACTTACGGCGCCTCACCCCTCCCCAAGATCATTCGAAAAATTTCGATAAATGTCTGGTTTTTCATTTGTACATGTAGCAATGGGAGAATCTGCAGCTAAGAATTCAACTTGTGAGTTTATATGGTACTTGAAACCAAAAAATTTTTGAAACCTGGAATTTCACACTGCATTAAAACTAATGTCTGAAATGTGAGCGCGAAACGATAACAATCAGTACTAGCTGAACAAAAGTATAAAGTGACCAAAATGACAACATATGATTTGGATAGAAAAGTAAAAGAATAAGAAGGAAATTTTGTCAAAATGTTTAAATGTGAGAACACCCCACACATACATACATACACATACACACAGGTGCATATCACAATGCACATATTGGCTCTCCGTTTGTCGACACAGCACAAGCATTCATACCTTCAGACTCTTTTACAAACAGGATCAGACCAACCAGCAGAATTAGCAATAGCGCACTACTGAACAAAAGGAAGGGAAGAATAAAGTCAAAATGCACCTACTTGGTGAAGGAACTAGGTTCAGTATTCAAAACTAAATCCACAGTAAAAGAAACTAAGAAGAAATTCCAAATAAATATAGTGCGCCACTGTTACCCAGATGAAATTTATCACTATTTACTGAGAAACAATACATCACCAATAAAATCACTAAAATTTATGCGCCTTAGTGTATGCACAAACAGCTTTCACCAATAAGAGTCTGCAATGATAAATTGTTTCTCACAAGCGCAAAAGACGACTTCGTTTAAAAAACTAAAAAGTATCAACAAAAAAACCTCTTACTTTACTGCAACAGCAGCAAAAAAACCAGAAAAATCAGCATCTGGCCTACCCGAAACTAATTCCATTCAGTCCTCATTATCTTCTCCAGCATCATCGGCTTCTTCGAAAATATCATCAAAATTATCATCGTCACCAGAAACTCCAGCATTTTCATCCATTTCTGGCACCAAAAAGTACTGCAACGGATTCGGCCAAAGGTCGTCTTTGATTAACTGCAACAAAATACCTAATGCACAGAGTAGGGGTTGGCAAAATATCTTCAGTAGAAAATACAAAACTTGATATGCATGAATTTCGAATAAGATTATTACAATAAGAAAAGAGGATAAGGAAATAGAGGTGTTATAATCTTTTCTGAATGACGAGTTAAACTTGTTAGAAAATGATTTAAGAAGCGATGAAACCTACTTCTGCAATTTCGTCATTACTTGGGTCCTGATTATCTGATAGCCAAGCGAAAAATGAACGTGGCGCCGGCGTTGCTTCACCGCTATTCTGACTTTTGGTTTTCACCTTTAAGGAAAATAGATGCACTGCAATTGAACACAAAATTTCATGGAGATGAAAGTAAAAATTTTGAAGAAATGGTACATACTTTGTTCAGGAGATCATTATCCGGCTTCCATTTGATGACAGTCGTGGTACTCGTCGGTTCAAAATCACCGAGGAAAAACTCCTTGATAAGCTGAGTATTTTCGAAAAACGGATTCTCATCAAATGTTAATTTAATCCTATATCCGGATTTGATGTCATCAAACTCCTCCACCTAAAAGAATCAATCCTAGCCGCAAACCATTGTGGTGTCATTTGTGAAGTCACTGTGAACAATAAAAGCTAAACAATCTATAAATAAAAAATAAAAAATTTAACATCGGTGTTGGGTAATACGCTGAAAAGTTTAGAAAGGTTAGGAATGATAAGAGAGAATAGGAAGAAGTTATTAACTCTAATGGTGGATAAAAAATTTTGGAATGAAATCAAGAAATGGCAGTGGCGGAATTCATGAAAAGACAAACCTCAACCGTAGTAAGATAATGTAAACATTCTTCTTCTTCTTCGTCCAATATTGCACTGATATTTGGATGGTTGACAAACTAAAAAAAAGTTCTAAAGAATCCGACTGATCTGCTTTGAATACTGCTTAGGAATCTAACAGTAAGAAACCGAAATGTGAACTTCTCAAGACTACATGAAGACGTAAATGATTCTTCTTTTCCTAAATTATGTTAACTGAACGGCTGAACAAGTTTTGCTCCATCTAGCTCCAAGATAATTTGTATTACCACAATATTTCAAATCCTAATTTGTGAGGTCGACCACAATGCATTTCTGAATCGTTCTTACTCAGTGTTCACCTTGCAGTGCTAAAAATTCCAGACTCATCTGTCCTCTTTTACAGACAGGGCAAATTATAGAAGTCTCATTTTAGTTTTACCACTAGTACAGCAATCACTACAAAAAAATTAGATCTTCGTCAATGTGCAACGCAAAATTATTTAAAAATCTTACTGCAGTGACCCAAAAATTTGGAATGTCGCGGACAAGGTCGTTGCGCTTGTCGAAAAATGGCTTTCGAAGAGAATTATACTTCTGTTCAACCTTTAAGGAAGTGCTTTCAATTTTATTTCGGCAAGAGTTAAAAAAACTCAATCATAATGCGACATGAATAGCAAAACAACTTTGACTAGTGAATCCCGAATTTTTTCCAGCAGACGCGTACGCGATCTACCATGCAAATGCACTAGCATCAAAATTCCAATGCAGCTGTTTTCTGAAGTCCTGGGACTTTCAAAAAAACTTTCGAAAACTAGCCTTCAATATTTCTTCGCTTGCTTTCTCATTCAATGAATCTATTTCACTCTGCACCTGATCAATCTGCTCCAGAATTTTTTGCGTGGCAGCATCGTAATCACCCACCTGGAAGCACAGGAACAAACAAATACAGCGGATCACAATGTGTGCTTGTTTTCAAAAAAATAATTGGTGAGAGGTTATGTTACGGGAAAATCCGTTTGATGATAGGAAGTAACTGTCATTCAGTTATGCACAAAATGAGAAAACGGAGACCAAGCGATGCTCTTGGGTGACTTTTGAAGTACTTCAGGAAAGCACACACTAGAACGTCATAGCGTTATCGTAAAAGTGTAATCACTAAAGACGGTGAACTAGAACAAAGCTGCTAGGTCCCTGAGAAATTAAGCCGCAATTTTTTGAACTTCCCACAGTTTCATAAAACCTTCGATGTTTCCACAAAACTGTACTTTAAGAAAACCCGGAAAATTAAATTTTCCTTGATGTACTAGACCTGAATATATGAGGTGCTTTGAGAAAAAGTACATTTTGGCACTTCCTCTTTGACCTCCTTTCCAATAAGAGTGCTAGTTTCCATTTTTTCATAGGTCAATTAGGCTCATAATTTCAACGGATTTGTGTAAAACACTTTGGGAAATGTGCTCTACATTGTTTTCTATACCGCTATTCTTCATGGTCGCTAATAAAGAAATGCCTAAGAATAATCTATAGTGGCGCTTTAATTAAGTTCGTATTTAAAACTACGAAACAAGAAGCCGTATTTCAAACCCCCTTCGAACTATCGCCATTTGTTTCGTTATCCGTTTTGCAGCGTTTCGCTACTGGCTCACCCATTATCGCAACGATATTGTTTCCGCTACACCAAGACAAGAAGTTGAACTAATCGATACAGACCACTAAAAATACCGGACAGTGCTAACACTGTGCCCGAAATTCCTTGTAAGATTTCTGGTTATAACATAAAGTCCAAGAAGTTAATAGTAAACAATTACATGTTTTACTTTTTACAGTAATGTCCATTTCGGGCCTTATAGCTTATCCACTTGACATTTAAGCTCACTACATGACTGACAGCGAATGCCATGTGTACAAGTAATCCTTTAGCTCTCTTATAAAAATAAAATCACATAACTAAATTCTCCACCAGATTATGCACAACACTTCAAATCTACAACCCTCATCACTTCCCACATCCCATTACGCCCTACTCATCCTAAAAACATATGTGCAAGATTTAATGAAGCCCACTTTTCAGTTATGAGATCGCATTGCAATACATTGTTCCGGATGGAAGTATAGATGCTGTGTTGCTTAAGAGTGCTCCAGACGTTCATCGCAGGAACAATCAGCTGATTTGGATAAAGATTTGCGGGTTTTTAATTATTCAAACCTACACAGAAGTTCCAATTGTAAGACAGCGCTACAAAACTCATCTGCCAAGCACGTTTGCGCCTCCCTTCTACGCTATGCGCCAGCCTCTATACTACTATTATAAATATCCACTCTCCTTGTGTGTTTACGAGATCTTCATTAAATCTTGAAACGATTGTCCTTACTACGGTCAGAACGCTTGGCAGTGTCTCAAATGGCGTACGATTTGGAAAATCCGTGAGGTTGTGGGTGGAGCGAAAATGCTGCTGCTTCGTTTGGTAAGGGTAGAGTGCATGATGGCGTTTTGGTGGGGTTTGTGAGATGAAGATGGGGATGTCGAAGATCGATTAGAGGTCGTCTTGTGGTCCGGTAAATTTGGGCTTGAAATTGCCATTTAATTGGTATAGGCAAAAAAGATTTCAAAACTTAACGGAACACGTTTCATAACTATGCAAATTCTTGAGGAAGGAATAATAAGGAAAGTAAAGGAAACGTGAAATGATACAATTGAAGGTATTGTACGCTGGTGGAATAATCCCATGTGGTTCTGATTATGAATGCTAATACTGACTCTTACTCTTGTTGAAGACTGTTATCTGATCAAGTAGCTGCTTGGAAACTGCATGTGGTATTCCTTCATGGGATGCTATCATGCATAATGTCGCTTTGTGAAAGTAAGCAAGAGACTAAAAGTAGAATTAAACCGAAAAAATCAAGAAATTTCTAAGATGCATTGACTATGTTTTATGTTTCTTATGTGGAATTTAAGTGTTTATCATCTCGTCTACCGTTCCATTTGTTTTTGTTTGGCCATGAAAAGCATAATGCGGTACTGTTCTTCTGGTACACTATAATTTACATAATTAAGGGATTTATTAGCAGCTTCAAGGATTCGACGATGAATATACAGCGTAAAGTAAAATATGCAGCCGCAGAGGAAGCTCCTAAGGTTGTTTGCCATTTATCGCTATGTATTTACTTATATGAAGAAGCGGTTTTGACTGATTGCCATAAAAGTCTAGATTTATTCAGGATTGTGCTGACAAATTATAGTACTTTGCAGTTTATGAACTTATTCTGTTACCCAATCAAAGTTTTCATATGAGTAAATTGTTTTAGAAGTGCTCGAAATTTTCGTTTTAGATATATGAACAGACTCATTCAGTTGTAACGGATGCTTTATATCATTGTCCTCCACCACCGAAACCTCCGTTTGCTATGGCGAAAATTCGACGTGGACCAGTTACGCCTCCAAGTCCTGATGAGAGTCATTTGTTGGTAAATAATGATGTGAGTTCTCCCTTTTTCTCGACAAACATAAAATGCTCCCAGAATATCTGACAAACATCTCTGACTTGATGATTTTAGGTGTTTTTGCCAATTTACGATGTGTTCTTATAATGCAGTTTATGTATCTTTTTATATATAGACGCCAAATCGACTAAATGTCGGTGGAGATGGGCACCTCGCAGCAAGTTCTGATCGTGGTCTTCTAATCGGGGTGGCAACTATTTCAGCAAATCATCCAGTTTCTTCTGAAAGGTTAGTGAGTTATTTCTTTTATTAGTTGTCGTAATCAAGAAAAATATTTACAGCAGAATGAGTAATGCATATGTGGTAATATTTTCAGGCATGGTCCAGTAAGGCGTGGTCCACATACTCCACCATATCCTCCGAAGTCACCCGATTCTCGATCACCATCACCAGTAGTCAGTGAAAAGCCAGTAAGTATAAAATCGGTCACCAAGCCAACATCAACGAGAGATCGAAATGCAGTAATTGTCTTACCTACAGTTAATTTGTGTAAACCGAACTACTCCGGTAATACAAGTCTTCGAGGATATCCTGGTCCGTTTTTCTTCATTTTATTTTATTCTTTTACCTTTATTCCAATCACCGGTACCAAGCATCAGCATAAAATCCAAAAATTCACCCCGATATACCAACACATTTGAGAGATATTAATTGATCTTCAATTCGCATTACTCAATCCATGTACCACATTATGAACTTTTACTTATTAGTTTAAAACTACTAGTTTATTGAAGTACGATGTATGATCATCAGTGAGTATGGTATAAAATATATATGTTTTCAGTTATTTTTAAATCCATTTATTTGACAGTCACTGAATGTACATATTTTAGGCAACAGTGGTATGCCACAAATGACTTGTTTTGGTTCCTTACCGGGTATGCATGTGCAGCCATTTATGATGATGCAGTCGGCCTCAACATCAACAGCCCTGCCCCCATACATGAATACACAGACGAGCAATCATACAACTGGAATTTTTCAAACTTCTGCTTGGCCAGGAGATTCTAGTTTTGGAGTTTGTCCTCCCTTCAATTTTACTTCGTCAGTTCCGAAGTAAGTTTTCCATTAATGGAAAACTATATGATAATTGAATGGAAAACTATATGATAAGTGATAATTGATGCTATACGTGGCATCAGGTCGACCCACTGATGTTCCGACGAACTTTTTGTCACTTTTCTTTGGTATTCATTAACAATTATCACTTAGTGAAGGGTTTATATAGTTCGGAATGTGGAGCAATATTTCATATACCTCGGCGCTGTGTTATACGTTTTTGGACTATCGAAAAAAATTTTTAATTCAACTGGCGTCAGAATACTAAACAAGAAGTGATCTCTAAAACTTTTATTTTTGCAGTTGAAATAACTCTCAAGTAAAGTTGCTTGCCTTCCTCAACACATATCATTTGTTGAAAGAATTGTAAAGACAGTCTTTAAAAAGTTTTTTTCTCGAGCTATTGTTTAGGCTCCCAGATCTATTGTGGACATGAGATTTCTCATTTTGATTTTGTTTCTTTTTTTTCATGCAGAATTTCAGCCCGAAGTTTTTTAGCGAGCGTACACTCGGTCCTGAAGTACTTAGTGTTCCTCCACCACCACCGCCTCCTCCACCACCAAATGATATGCGACTGGTGTCACAGTCGAATGTTTGCGTGAAGAACAGCTCCGATTGTTCTGTTAAGAATGATCTGAAACCAGGTACATATTGATAAACGCCAACATCAGTTGAATTACTTGGTGACTACTGCTGTTTTAAATTGAATTAGTAGATTAAAACTAAGTGAATATTAACTGGAATTAAACTTCAAGTTAAATTTTATATGATTTTATAAGAACATTGCCGTAACTTCTGTGTCGATTTCAGGGACTTCTTCTGTTACCAAACCGAAGGACATACCGATGGCTTTGGATCCGATATTGCTTGATCTCGCTGACTTATCTCCAAAACCACAAGTTTCCAAATCAGCAAAGCCTGTGCGCTTTCAAAACGAAAGAAAGAAATTATCTGTGTGCAGGGACTCAGTTGTTAAAGAAGCTCACGGTGCCTTCGACACAAAAAATCGTGAACAGAAATGTACTTTAAAATTGGTTGGAGCTGAAAAAAAGGAAAGTGATAAAAAGGCAAAAGAGGGGGTCAAGACGATTAAAGTTTTAAATCCATCCGAAAAGATTAAACGTGAAGAATTAGATGGTATGGAAAATAAGAATCCGAAGCCAGTTGCTGATGATCCACATGAAATCAAACGAGCAACCAATAATTCTTTTAAATCGATAAGAAATGATAAGGAACTAAGTAAGAATGCATCGCGCAGTACTCTTTCAAATGGTGACAGTGATTCGGTAATAAAAATTATGGACGATGGAAAAATAATGAAAGGAGATAAAAATCAGATAGATCTTTCTGTTATCAAAACTGGTGAAATCCAACGAGCTGAACTGAATTTAGAAATTGAGAGACAATTGGCTATTGCTAATTCGAAGGACGGTATGTGTTTCTTTTGTCCGATATTTTATCAAAGATTTTTGATAGCGTTGTACTTTTCTTTGTGTAAAATTTTGATTTTGAAGCTAATATCAACAATCTGTGTATGATAAAATTTGATCATGCACATTAAAAAAAAATTAACAGATATATTATGATTAGTAAGCATTATTTACAACGATTTTTCTTGAAGAAAAGCCAGATCGAGAGCTTGAAGAAGTGCGAGAGGAGACAGTTATGGAAAGGATTGTCGTTGTTCCAGAGGATGATTTGAATGGCGATGAATTGATGTCATCTACTGATTCAGAAAGAAACCCCACGCCAGATAATGTTGTTTCATTTTATTGTTGTTATTGAAGTTCTATCGATTTTTAAACTAGGATAATTATTTCGATTTACAGCAACAAAATTTGTTGCATCTCATTCTAGACTCAGTTTTTCTCAATTTCTGTGATCTCATCAAATGAAAATCATGAAGATGGAGTTGTTGAACTTGGACCACCAGCTTCTCCAATACCTGGACTGTGGTTAGTTCATTGATATTTTGTTTTATATAGTTTCATTATTCATCGTATTCACATTTATGTGTTTTTTACAAAAGTTCGTTTTAATGCGCTAATTGTTTAAATTGGATTGTTTCTACTGCACAGTCTAAATTAATATATTTTGGAATCTAACTATATTCGGGAAGTGCTAAACTTTTGTGAATTCTTGGGAAATGATTTATGTTTGTGTACGCTTACTACTACCTTTTTTGTAATTCAAATTTTTGGTGCTGCATTTACGATGAGAAGAGTGCATAGGAGTTCATTTTTTTATACAAAGTTTACGAAAAGAAAAATTCAGAATATGTAATAGTTGTGAGTCCCGTGTGTTTGCTTGTTTTTTTAAATCAATCAAAAAATTCGAAGTAATTTTGTTTTATGACTTTGAAAGAAGATTCCTTACAATGAGTGGAGTAGTTTGTGCAAAATCAATCTCACATCCCACTTTTCAAGTTGATGACACTATTAAAGTATAAAAGATGCAAGAATTTTACGCACCAGACCTTTCTTTCGTCCTATACTGAGATTTACTATTCACTTCAAAAGATCTTATAATAAGTGGACCTATAACATAATTCTGTACTCCACCAGCAACGTTAAATTTACAAACTCTGTGTAATCCACAAATATACCGATTATTTTATTCGATTTACTTATATTCGACTTTACTTTCTCTCTACTTCTAGTTGGCTCAGTTCTCTCTTCTGTTAGCAATAGCTTTCATGAAATAACAACCGGGATTTACAGGGAGTTGATTTCCGAGTTCATGTTCTGAAACTACAGGAGTTTCAAGCGTATTTAGACTAGACAGACAGTATGTCTCATCCTTTAGTTGCAAATACTGATCCGAATATTTTGTCAAGATGTCTTGATAAGCTTGTTGCAATTGAAAAGAATTGTGAGAAACAGTAGATAACAAATATACCACCAGATAATGTTGTTTCATTGTTATTGAAGCTGTATCGGTTTTGAATTAGGATAGTTAAACTGACAGACTTTTGAAAAGACAGTAGCTTATATTAATAACTTCTTCGCAACTATTCCAGTGGACGTGAATATTCATCCCCATCCACAAGTGGTTTCACCGATTCTACACCAAGCAATTCGTTCAAGCAGGCATCCACGACTGATGTTGTAGGTTGTTCAAAAACTCTACTGCGTGGCAGTAGAAGTGTACCACGGCATAAAAAAATTCATGATCAGCTGCCAAAGATTTCTGAGAAGGTCCTTTTTTGGAGACGCCTTTTTTGTAATGCGTTTTTAATTATTTGATATTTTATCGACACTAGTTTTTTTCTAATAAAAATCGTGTTCTATGAAGTGAGGTGTATTTCAGTTTCGAAAGTACATTCATGTCGTGACACATCCAAATGGTGGCGCTTCGATGCTTAAGGCAGATTGGTCGAAAATTAAGGAACGCTTCAGTGGCTGTGAGCTGGATGAGTTTACTATGGAGTTTGTGACATTTGGCTTGGCTGAAGTTGACAGCACGCCTATCTTTGTAATTGCTGTTATTGAAAACGCTGCCGAATATCTTCAGGCAAGAATTATATTTGGAATTTTTAACGGCACCTTTCTGAAATTTTTTCTTTGTTAGTAAAATTAAGCCTGAGGAAATTCGACTTTTTCTTGATCCCTAATTTCTTTTCAAATGAACAATTTTGGTATTTGATTACAGAATGGTTTGGAATATTTTGCCAAGAAATTTCCCCATATGCCAGTAAAGATTGGATCACTCACCAGTAAACAATGTGTTAGCACAACGACTGTTTCGGAATATTACAGTCATGTCATGGAAACTTGTCACCATGGAACTTTTAGGTGAGCTAGCAGTTTGAGATTAATTATTTTTAAAATGTCTGTGATGTCATTCGGAAGTCTTCTTGATACTTAGTGAAAAATTTGTAGGAAACACCCCATCAATTGTTACATCACGGTACGAGAAAAACAGCTATTGAGTATAGTCGAAGCGCTACTGGACGTATGTTCCAGAAGCTTTAAACGTTTTGGCGAAACAAAATACCGTGCACTTAGCAGTTAAATACAGGTGAAACAACCGCTGCCAATTTAACTGCGAGTTGCATTTCTTAACTATTCCAGAACTGCGAAATGGGGTGAAAATAAACTGTCTGGATTAGCTGTGTGTCGTTTTACTGAACGATTAGCTGTTTGTTAATTTGCTGTCGTATTATATTATTTTAATCATATCATTATACTATAGTTTGAGTTAAAATTTTTTTTAGATATGGCCCATTACACTCGCTGAGTCTGGTGGGAACGAGACAAGAAGAATGTGGCAATTATTTCAAAGTTTGCTTTATATCGTACTATACTGATTTTGGGTTATTTGTTTCTCCGATATTTTTGTGACCTTAAATTCTACCATGTAAGTTTTTAAGGAACTAATTGAATGGTTGGAAATGTTTCCTATGCTTAAACTTCTAATGCCCTGGGGTGAATGGTCTGGAGCAGATCTTGAAAGTCCTTCGGATAGTGATGATGGGCCCATTTTTTGGGTACGTCCAGGCGAACAGGTATGTTCACTGATTATCTATGGTAAAAAAAAATTTGTTAAATTATTGTAATTTTTTATATGTTCCTGTGAACACTTACTTTATTGAATAAACTTTTATTTCTTTACTGATTGCACTTTTTTCTTATTGCTCTTATAGATGATAAGGACTGATGAGATGAAGGAAGATTTGTCATCCAAAATTCGAAAGCGAAGTACATCAGTTCGACCACATGTACCATCCTACAGGTTTAAAATATTGTTGAGTTCTTTATCCTTTAATATAATTGCCACTCGTATCAATTGTTTGTTGTCATTAATTTTTACTAAACATGTTAGTTTCTTTAGGTACCGAGAACCACGTGAGTTCTTTTTCGAAGATCGGACACCGTGTCATGCAGATCATGTAGGTGATGGATTAGAAAGGCGTACAACTGCTGCAGTTGGTGTACTTCAATCAATCTATGGACCAACAGAAAAGAAGAAGTAAGTGAATGGTAAAGTTTTCATTTATACAGAACTTCATTATTTTATAAAATTTCATTAAATCATTCAAATCTCTGTGCAAGACAGTCTGCTCTCGTATGGATTTGTATTTTTGTAGGAGTAAAATAGGAAGAAGAGCAGTAAAAGATGTCGTTTGTTTCCATGCAAGTGACTTTGAAAGAATTGTTGACGAGTTACAGTTGGACCTTTATGAACCTCCGATGTCACAGGTATAATTACGTTTCCTAAACTTCTTTTGCAATCATTCGGTAGTTTGTAGTCAAAATTTTGTTTGAATTGCGTCTGTAGTAACATCTTGCTAATTTTGAATTTGTTGTAATTCATATGAATAGTTTTCTCTCATCCTAATTATATTTTGCTTTCAGTGTGTACAATGGGTTGAAGAGGCAAAACTAAATCAATTAAGAAGGGAAGGAGTTCGTTATTCACGATTTTTGGTAAAATTTGCGCTCTAGTTTTCATTAGTTAAACTTATTCATTGACTTAACATTTTTGACATAATAAGATGGAGATAGGGATAGGTAACAACAGTGGTTGGATTTGTTTTTATGAAAGTTTACGAATTGTCTTATGACTTATTTGCATCGCTGCATATTTATTAGCATTCTCATTAACTTTTTAGTTGCATGATAATGATGCTTACTTTCTGCCTCGGAAAATAATCCATCAATTTCGAACTATAAGTGCTTGCGCTTCAATTGCCTGGCATGTGCGTCTTAAGCAATATTACAACGACAGTGCGGAAATGGAAGCAGATGAAAATGAAGAGACTATAAAAAAAGTGGATGTGGAAGGGGATGAAAGTGGAAGTCGTCGAAAACGGAACAAAGATGACACTAAAAAGTGTGGAAGGTGGAAGGGGTAAGCTTTCGGATTTTATTATTTTAAGTTCATTATATCTATTTAAAAGAATCGGAAGGAAGGTAATTGGCTTTCATTCCTTAAAATTATTAAAATTCTATGTTCCTTCAGAAAAGATCGTGTGAAAAAAGCGAAGCGTTCGGATGATTGTGAACCAGAATCTTCCAAATGATGGAGCTTTTTATGGATCGGCAATTTAAAGTCCGTGGAATCTATTCAACGCGTTCCTTTGACTAATGAATGTAGATAAGTTAGTGGCTTTCCGGAAAACTTGTTTGCTCTTGCTGGGGAAAACGTTCTTGGGAATCAAAATTTCCTCAATTGTTGGGTTGGGTTCATCAGATTTTAATCAAATGCTTAGGAAACAGATTTTCTAGACGTAGTTTCCCCAAATATTTGTCTTTTTCTATTATTTATTCATGTGTAATTATTGGCATGCTTTCTGCTTCTTGCCTCCATTAATTGCTTTGTTAAATGTTCATATGGCCATCACCAGCCTTATTTGCCACTTTAGGGCTAACTACATTTATACGTGGTATCTTACTCTTTTTTTCATGCAAGTTCATTACCTAATTTCCGAAAATTTGTACGTTTTACCTGTTTTATTTGAATTTGATTAAATTGTCATGATTTATCACTCCGTTAATCTTTGTATATTTCATTATTTTTGGTTATTTTAATGTTATCAGTTTTCTGTTCCTTACTGCTGTGTATTTAATGAATCTGGTTTTATGTTTGATTGATCGGTTCTTGAAATATTAGTTGGTATAAATTTGAAGTATTAGTATGTCGGATGAGATATCCTGTGTTAAAATTTCAGTGTTTTGATGAACACGCAATCACCTTTTCATTATTTGTCTTATCCGGAATTTTATGGGATTTGAAAAAGTTGCGATCATGGAGATACTTATCTTAATTGTTTCATTTTCAATTATATACTTCATCAGGAATGTAATCAAATGGAATCTCTTGTATTATAGGCATTTGTCTTCTTTCATTTCAGTAACCTGTTTAAAGTGAATGTTTATTTTTAAATTTGTGTTCATATCGAATTTCAGTCACGGGAGTAACGCATTTATAGTATAATATTTTCAAAAATTTTTTGTCCGGCAAGGGATTAAATGATTGTTTTATAGTAGTAACGGTCGTGTGCGATAATAGTAAGCGTACCTATAGATTATAAAGCACAGACAAAGTATGTAATACCTGGGACTTTCAGCGTTTGGAATACATTCTTGCAAGTTATTAAAAACAGTTGTAGGTAAATGCGTTGTACCCTGCAAAAGCAGGCTTTTCTAGCGTTTGAGTTGAGATTGCTTGCTCATCATTCCTTAACATTTATTGCGGTACAGTTGTGACAGTTCTGTTTTTGGGGCATGCAAGATACCAGAAATCTCTGACCACATTTTTAATTTACTATGCTGGATCACAGTTTCTATTTTAAAATAATTTTAGAAAAACTATTAAAGAACTTACGGGCTGCTGTAGTCTTCACGGGTTTGTTTACGATGTGAATCAATTTCATTATTGCAGCTTGATTCTTCGCGATTTAAATAGTACAGAATCTTAAATCTGAAATATGTGGAATCTAGCCTATAGCGCAAAGGTCCTGTTGAGGTTAAACACAAGTTACGAGAATTCCATTGCTCTGTTGCTTCCCTGACCGACTGCTGCACAGCAAAAAATAGAATCACGAAGTTGATTCTAAAGTAATTTGACAACCTCCCGATAAGGTTTTCGCGGAAAATTGCTTGGAAAGATCGGAATAATTCTTAAAGTGAAATTGAAACATAGTGTTCTTTTCAGATATAACTTGTTTCAAATTCGCTGCATTCGATCGTTTCGCACCTACTTATTGCTCGAAAAATCCCTGCGAAAAAAAGAGATCTATAATAAAATCAATCGGCATCATTTTCCCTTACTTTAGAAAAAAATCCCTGGTAATTGGATTCACTTCAATTGTATTGAAAAAATTTCTGTTCAGTATTTAAAAATTTCAACAACATCGAAGAACACTTCAGGCTGCTCACTGATTTTTTCAATAATATTGTTCATGTTAAACCAAATTTGGTTCCTAAGCGAAGAGCAATCAATAAAGAGACATTTAAACTAGCAAGTTTTTGTCAATAATTTCCATTTTAAAAGACCTTAAAAAGAAGAGAAGTGAAGAAATGCAATCATAGACGGGAAGATGAAATTAGGAAACAATGCGAATGGGTTGGACTTGTTAATCTTTGATTTGCTAATTGAACCACTGTTTTTTTTTTCTCTGTTCTCTTCCTCATTCATTCGAATCGTTGATTCCAGGTAATTGAATCATTTGAAGTTCTTCAGTTACTGAGTAATTATAATATAAGAGCCGCTGACGTGAAAGATTCGTATGTATTTGACAGTAATGGCTTTGTCATATTCAGCTCAATATTCGCCAGTTTATTGCAAGTAAGCATTGTAGATTTTATAATTTCCGTCCTATCTTTATATGCAAAATCTCTTCTACGTTAATCGTTGTGCATATTTAATTTTTAAAAACTGCAGATTGGAATTTGAAATTTTATAATCTGCCACTTGAAGTTTTTAAAATAATGTAACCGTCACAATTATTATAGAATCCAGAAACTTATATAGACTTCATCCAATTTGTCATTTTTTTTTTGTTAACCATTCTTAAGCTTAAATAAAAAGTAAAACATATTTTTGAATTTATAATTATCATTATTGTTTGGTTTACTGTTTGCATTATCCAATATGGCTAGTTTTTTCGTTGTTAATTGACAGGAATTTTTTTAATTTAACTCTACGAGTTCTAGTAAAATAAGCTTGTAGTTCAAACTGTTAACTACAGCTGCTAACTGCAACTGCGTAAGACATTCCTATCAAATGGTTAATTACAACTGCGTAAGAAAACTCTAAAAATATATTGGCAATGTAAAAGTCGACAACTGTTCAATACTCTCAAGTGATTTGGATTGCCGTTGTAACAATCCATCTATCGGTTCGCTAATACAATTCAACAGTGTCTACTGATACATTCAGTATTTTGGAGTAAATTATCTAATATTTTGAATTCTGGCATTTCTGAGGAAACAAGCAATAGAAGTTTTAATTACTCATTTGTAGAAAAGAACAATATTATTGTGTTAAATACATATTTATGTATATATATGAATGAATTGTTGACTGAAAAAAACAGGTTCATTATAGAAGCACAGGTTAGGATCCTAACTATTGGAGCTGTTTCTATGAATATATTACAATCTGTAAATTTTTCAACAAAAAAGTTGTAAATGTGTTGCTCTAACTAAGTACACATTTCAACTTTCTTTCATTATTTTCCCTATCTGCTTGTATAATTTTGTAAACTTATTTTTCTTTTTTATTGAAATTTTGTTGTTAACAACAGTAGCAACGATAGCTAAATAAATTGGCACGAAGCTTCCCAACATCTGAAAGCGTAATGTTTGCAAAATTCAATTAATATTTCATCGAGCCATGAACAGGAAAGATGTCCTCAATAAATGAAATGGTGGATATGCTTGTTAAAACTAGTTCTTCCTTTAATTTTAGGCAAAACTTCATTGATCAAGAATGATTCCAGGCCTTTCTGAGTTCTTTAGATATTCTTATTTACTCATCTATTTATGTTAATTATTTTCTGAACATTTACCGAATATCATTGTTCTGATGGATATAATGACTATGTAATCTAAAAATGCTATTATGCCAGTATTTAAAGCTTTTGTAATTGGTGCTTATTAGCTTATTAGGAAATCGATCTCATTTCTTTTTTCCTTTTGCTTTCTTTTACGTTCTATTAAGCGACATTTAGACATTGAAAAACATTTAGGGCTTGGGCTTATTTGCGAGTCAATCAGCAACAACCATCATCATTTCCTCCCTGTACATTACATTTCACTCGATCTTCCTGCGCCGGTGTTGGCTCTCGACGACATGAGGGGCATTTGGTCATTTAGAGGCCATCTGGACTTTCCTTCCATAATTTATTATTCTTACTATAAATATTTCATCAATCGAGCCTTGTTAATTTTTAGTCTGTTTTTTTTATCTTCTGTATTTATATGTTGCTAAGTGGATCAAATATTAGATAATATTATTAAATATTGGACTCATTTCTCAAAAATATGATCCAGTATAAGGTTTTCATGTTCAAATTTGGAAATAGAACGATTTGGTTCTAAAAAAAATTAAAAAATAGAACGATTTGATTTTTCAAAAAAATTGTAATTTTTGAGGAAAAAATATTAGTCTCGTAAAAATAAAAAATATTCAACCTTGACATTTCAATTCTATTACCCATAATCTATACAAAATTCTTCGGTGATAAGCAATACCAAAAAACATAAGTAAAAAAATCAAATGTTAGTAAAATTGAAATTTGAATGCAATTTGAAAAAAGCGAGATGTTTTACAGAAACAAATGTCATAGGAAATAGCTACAATTTCTTTCTAGAAAATCTTCAAAAGAATTTAAAAGATCAGTTGTACAACTTGCCAGTCTTCTTTTTAAATAATTGCTTATCAGCTTTGTGAGTGCTGTAAAAAATTATCATTGGCATTATTTTACACTCATCACGTTTAGTGAACTGCTTTAATATAATTTTCACAGCTTTTATCATGGCTTTTAACAAGTTGGACTTAAATGAATGTCATATACATGTGCTTTGAAATTCGTTTTGAATTATGTCTCAAAATTGTTGCGATTTTAAATTTGATTTTCGAAAATATTACGGCAACCTATTGCTAGTGATGTCTCTAGGTATGATTAACTCAAGTCGTTAACTGCTAGTGACCATGGAAGTAATGCAAGCAAAATTTATCATTAAGAATCTGCTCATGGCTGCAAATTTTCTATCCGCTTTGTTAATTTTGAAAATTAATGGATTTATAAAAACTGAATGAAGCTTCTTAAAGTCTTAATTTTCTACAATTTTTCGTTTGTTGCTTAACAATTCAGTGGTTTTATTTCGTGAATTAATATATTTTTTAACTGTGAAAATAAATTCATTTCTCAAGAATAATATTAAATTAAGTCATTTCAGGATTCAAAGCGCTGCTTTTAGGATGTTGTTGATTCTCTTATTTGCATTTATCAGTTATGCAGCATCAGAAAGGTCTGTCATATTTATAAACTTCGAAATAATTGGTTTTTCTACTCAATATTTTTGAATTGTTTCAAATCTCTGAATTTGCGAAATATTATTATACTTATATGTTATAGTAATTATCATGGACAACAACGCCTAGAACGTGTGCCGCACTTTCTGTCCGCTCCATCTAATAGTAGTTTCCGTGAAGGATCAGCTGTTCGACTTACTTGTGAAGCAATGGGTACGGAAAGTACAGCTTTTATTTTTTCAACATGAATTATTATGAATAGAAATAAGGTTTATGTGTGGAAAAATGCGCAGCAAATCAGCTGGGCACAAGCATTTGGGTACCATGCCTAATAGATCCTGACTAATTGTTATAAATCTCGTTGGAATCATATTTTGGCTGCACGAACCAAAGGCTACTGTTACGTTTTTTCGGAAATATGACTTTCGATGGTGACATTTACCTTTTCATGATGATGGCAGTCAAGTATTCGAGTAGATAACCTTAGCATATCAGCGTTATTAAATAAAGTTAGCATATCAACTACTAATGAGATAGCATTAGCATATCAGTTAATACCAGAAATTACACTAATGATCCTACTTAATATGTTAACGGCTGTTTGCATAAGTAAGTCAGTGTATACCTTCGAGTTACAATCGTCGTCGATTGGGCGAATGAAACAAATGTTGCTGATATAAAAGAAATGAAGGCAGGATCTGGTTAAACAATAGTTTCATAAGAAATAGTGCTCCTTAAAAAGTTTAGAAATAAATCTACATCTGCCATGTTGATTTTTGTAGAGTCATGTACTGCTAATATTTGTTAGCGGATATTTGTTTCTGAACTGAGGTATTTCTCAACGAGTTCTGCGATTTCTGTTAATGCAATGAGACTCAATTTTAGCACTTGAGATTGAACTGGTAAATTCCAATTTATTTTTCCTGTTCAGTTATGCTAATTTTTGCAAGTATGAATAATTTTTAGCTAAACCGCCACCGGTGACAACCTGGTATTTCAAAGGTGAACAAATTCATCCAACCCAAAAGTATTCATTGAATTTGAACAGCTCTGTACTCAACATCTATCCATTCCAAAAAAGCGATGTTGGAAAGTAAGTTTCCTACTCAAATTATTTACAGAATTTCCATGGATCACGGATACTAATAATTACAAATATTCCGCTCTTGTTTTGCTTCTCTTTGCAAAAATCTTGAATGTGTAAAAAGCAATTCACTGATTTGAAAAATAAATTTTTATAGCAAACAGGAAAAAAGATGAATAACTTCTATGTATTTCTTGAGATCAGACTCATGATCTTTGGGATTCGAAGAAAAACTGATTAGTTCATTTAAGTCAGAAGAGAGTGAAGTAGATAAGAATAGGGAGGGAAAGTAAAGAGAAAATGGAAAGGACAGGAAATAAACAGTCAACAATTTCAGAATAAGAAATTTTCAAATTTAGTCGAATTATTTGGTTGGAAATAATTGTTGGGCTCACTCTCGACTTTCTTATTAATCAAGATATCCACTACTATGGATTTTTTGTTATGTTACTACTCAGTGTTCATCTTGCTTAAAAAATTTTAATTTGAAATTGTTTATGCAAATCGTTATTTAAGTGGTTCAGATACATTTGTGTAGCGAGCACTCGAAATGGCCAAGTTCAACACTCTTTCGAATTGAAAATTCTCAACAACTCAGCACCATTTATTGTGGATAGTCCGGAATCAAAAGTAGTTAATCCAGGTGAACAGGTTACTTTTGTTTGTCGAGTTGCCGGAGAGCCGTCCCCATCCATAAAATGGTACTTTAATGGTGCGGAAATATCACACGACGATCTACATATAAAGGTTTCAATTTCTAGTTTATTTTCTCAAATTATAAACTGTAAATTGTTTTATATTCATTGTTATCTTAAAAGATTCAGGATTTCTGAAGTAATTTAAAAAATATGACGACTTTGTCGGATATAATAAAAGCTAATTTAAGTTAACACAGCGAGATAATGAGCTGACAATAATTCATGCTACCCGAGAAGATGAAGGTGTTTATCAATGTATTGCAAGCAATGTTCTCGGAATGACCAGCGCTAACGCAACCCTTAAAGTTTACCTCCCAAATCAAGAAGTGCTAGATGAATCCTTAACCAGTGAAGTTCTCAAAAATATTGTCAAACAAGCTAAAGAACACGTTGACAGGTTAAACTTCAGTGAAATTCCGTGAAATGGTCGAATTTTAACTCAATAATTTACGTCCCAAACATTTGAATTAGCTTTACTGATTTAATCCGAGAATTAAGTAAATATGAATCCTGTAATTATTCTTCCGTGAAAGATTTCAATTCTAGAGCAATAAATCAATCAAAATCATCAATTAATAACAATGGTGAGATGTCACCATGGGAATTCATGACAATGTTTAAATTCAACATACCACAAAATGTTGCGCTCACCAAAGCACGAGAAATCTACGAGCAAAGTTTATTGCTTGTTCAGCGATACATTGGGGACGGTATGTTAATAATCCTAATTTTTAAGATCTTACTTATTTCACAACTTTTCCTAACCCATTAAAATTTTTCGTTTTAAGATTTCCAGTCTTTAGGTTTAAAATTCCCAGTTGAACAATTGCCAACAAACTTTTCGTTCGAATCAGTTCTAGCCGTGTCGAATATCCAAACAATTATGGAACTTTCCGGATGCGTAACTGGACCATTTCGAAATCCTTGTACTGATATGTGCCTTTACGCCAAGTACAGGTTCTACAAAAAATTCAAATTATTGATATTGTTGAGAATCATTTTTACAATCTCTTCTATCTTTTATATATTTTTCAAGTTTTTTCAAAATAAATGAAAAAATATTCCCTCAGTATTTTAAAGGACATACGATGGGCAATGCAATAACATGGAGCATCAATTTTGGGGAGTTGCGCAAACACCGTTTCGCCGAAATTTACCTCCTATCTATGAGAATGGTTTCAATACGCCAGTTGGATGGAATCCTGAAAAACTTTATTTTGGATTCAAGAAACCAAATCCACGACTTGTTTCCATGAAGATTATCTCAACGGAAGAAATAACTCCCCATTTTGGTTATACGGCCATGATGAAACAATGGGGACAATTTCTGGGTACTTGTAACCGCCAAATCCTATCTATTTAATTACTTCAAGATTTAAATATTCAGCATACTTCATTTGCAGCACATGACATCGAACAAACAGCGCCTGGCCTAGCACGCCAAACTTATATGAAAGGAGCAATATGTAATAAAACTTGCGAAAACTTGGATCCATGTTATAATGTTCCGATGCCTCCTGAGGATCCTCGTATGCAGGGCGAGTGAGCTTTTTTTAAATAGAGAATCTGGGACTTTTCATGAATTTCAAAAATGATAGTTTACAATAATTAAAAATTATGAAACTATGTTTCATAAATCTATCTAATCAAAATAGATATTGCCTCGTTTTCCATTTTTTTAAATGATAGTGCTATCTTTCAACGATTATTTTGAATTTTATTTTTGAAGTTTAGGAAAAAGCCCGAAATTGCATGCATTGAGGTGGAGCGATCTAGTGCAACTTGTGGTTCCGGTCAGACTGGTCCAATTTATCGACAACTTACTTATCGTGAACAAATGAACATTGTGAGTTCGTTTTTGCTTACAATTCGATAAGGAAAAAAATCAGAAATAAACAGAATTGCTCGTATGTCTATTATTTTTTCAATACATAAATTGTCTGAAGTGAATACAGTTTTGTTCACTTATAAGCAAAATTTTTAGAACTGCTCTACATCGATTGATTTCTTTAAAAATTTGGATTTAAACATGTTTTTCAAATTCTATTGTTGAAGTTAACTGCCTTCATCGATGGGTCTGGCATCTACGGAAGTGCAGAAGTAGACGCACTAGATTTACGTGATTTATTTGGTGATCATGGATTGTTGAGATTTGACATTGTATCAGAAACTCAGAAGCCATATTTACCGTTTGAGCGCGACTCGTCCATGGAGTGTCGCCGTAATCGTTCCCATGAAAATCCGATCAGTTGTTTTTTAGCTGGCGATTATCGAGCCAATGAACAGGTTTATGTTATATATTTAGAGAGGACCAGTTTGACAAGCACTTATAATAATTTATGAAAGTCTTATTATGCGCTTCAGCATGCTTGATTTTCTCGTTTCTTGTCATTTGGGGACTTGAAAGTTAAGAGAAAAAATTTAGAAGAAAAAAGTAGTTAAGAATAATATATTAGGTTTATCGGCAGATCACTGCTCCTACCGAATTCGGATTCGAGATTCAAAAACTATTTCTTCCTTTAATAATTACATTTTAGATTAACTTAAAATGAACAGATTGACTTTTCTGAATAACTTTTGCAGTATTGCAATAGTTGCATTTCATGATCATTTGCACTTCTAAATTATAGTAATTATAGCTAGCACTGCTTAGCATGCATACGTTATGGCTTCGGGAACACAATCGCATTGCAACGAAATTTCTAGAAATAAATCCGCACTGGGATGGTGAAACTATATATCAAGAAACAAGGAAGCTCATTGGAGCTATGTTGCAAGTTATTACCTACGAACACTGGTTGCCTAAAGTGCTTGGACCGGTCCGATTTTACCTTTTTAAGTAAATTTTCAAAAAAGCCTGAAGCAAAGTCTTCAAAACAGTATTTTAGGATGGATATGCAGAGCTTATTGGGCCATATAAAGGATATGATTCAGAAGTGAACCCTACCTTAGCTAATAGCTTCTCAGCTGCCGCTTTTCGATTTGGACATACACTTGTCAATCCAATTTTATATCGTCTGGACAAAAATTTCGAATCGATCAAAGAAGGTAAGTTCGTAGAAAAAATTTTAGATTTTCGGTGGCTTTTCTGAGATATTTCTAGAGGATTTAGAAAGTTTATTTTATATTTTGTATATTCTTAGCGAAACACTGATTGTGTTCGCAGGTCATATACCACTACATGAAGCTTTCTTTGTTCCTGAACGATTACTATCAGAAGGTGGAATTGATCCTTTGTTGCGGGGATTGTTCGCAATGCCCATGAAGACTCCCAAGGGACAACAATTGGTAAATAAGGAATTGACGCATAAACTATTTAGCCGTGTGGAAGAAGTACGTTATATTTCGGTAATTTATGAAATATTATTATATGATACAAACATGGTTTACAATTGTTTCAACTAAGTATTAGAATCATAGAGGTTGTTCGATTTGATGAAGTTGTTGCATTGATATTGTTCAAATTAAATATAAATTGTGAAGGCCTGTCCGATATCAGCATCAAGATATTTTACTATATTCTAGTCTATGTACGATCTGGCAACAATCAATATCCAACGTGGCCGTGATCACGGGTTACCCGGGTTCGTCCAATCGCTAATAATTTTGCTGGATGTGAGCTGCAGGCTGATTGAATGATGAAAACGGAGAAATTTTACCAGATTCACAAAAAACTTCTGCAATTTAATTTCCAAAACCTACGTATTTCCAAAAGTGCGCTTTCCAAAGAAAGTGGGCTAAATGTTATCTTCTTACTACAAAAATCGGGCTAGAATGATGCCATTTAATAAGATTTAGTTCATTACCTTAGAATCCACTTTAGAAGTCTACCATACTTGTTGTGAGACTTGATTCCATATAAAATGAAAAACGTAATTTAGAAGATACTTTAAGATATATTGCATTCCGGCGTTGGTGCAACTTGAGCGTTCCGGAGACATGGGATGATTTAGCGGATGATATACCGGATAACAGTATACGAGCTAAGCTCAAAGAACTCTACGGACACCCTGGTTAGTTCCCCCTTTGAAATTCAAATTTAATACTGGCAATTTTCAATTCTTTAAATTCCATTTTTCACTGAAAAATAGAATTGTATATTCGAGCATTCTCCATTTCATAGCTTGTCTCGAAGGAAAGAAAGTGATTCACTGGGGAATAGACCGAATAACCCATCAAACAAATACAAAATCTTCCCATTTTCTAATTCCATGGTACCATCGTGAAATTTGAAATGTTCACATTTTGAGGCAATATTGATTTATGGGTGGGCTTAATTTTGGAACGACGGTTAGCTGGAGCTTTGGTTGGGCCAACAATTGGATGCATCCTTGGAGATCAGTTCAGACGCTTACGTACGGGAGATCGTTTTTGGTTTGTTTGATTTGAAAAACTGTTTAATTCTGAAAAATATGAAAATGATTTCTTGCATAATTTAAATGAATCTTAGAAATTTCTATGATAATTGCAGGTACGAAAATGAAGGTGTTTTCACACCTTTACAACTTCAGCAAATTCGGAAAGCAACACTGGCAGCTGTGCTGTGTAACAATGGTGATCACATTGATCGCATACAGGTATTCTTTGGCAAATTCTTCCAAAATTTTTAAAGAATTTTTTTCAAGCCACAGAGGATCTCCTGCTAAATCAAAATTTTTAAACAGATTTACTTTTAGAGGGATGTATTCGAGTACAGAGGGGACCGGTCGATTAAATTTTACGAAGACTGTGAGCAAATACCTCAAATTAATTTAAACGTTTGGCAGTCATGTTGCGAAACGGGTTGTGCCTCATTCAGCGTAGAGGAGAATATACAAAGCAGGTAACAACTTATAACCCATATTTTTTATGTTTTGACTAATTTTTGGCTAATCCTTTCCCGCAAAAAAGAAATAGAACTCTATATTGGACTTTAACAGAACTCCATTACAACGTTGTAGGACCTCCAGGAAACGAAGAGCACACAAAATGCATAGAAAACACACGTGTAACATTGATGATGGAATGAGAAGAGATGGTGATATCTGGAAACCGGATCAGTGCACAACATGTGAATGCAAGGCTCGTTATTCGTGGATATCTCTCGAAAATCTTTACTGGGGAGTTTTTGAAGTTTTGTGACCTAACGCTATTTCAGATTGATCAAATATGGTGTTCCGTTGAAAAAGGTTGCAGAAAAGCACAAAAGTAAAAGGATACAAAGTCTCCCGAAATTTCAGTACTTATTGCTTCCCTCATGCATTGTTCTTTTGTCAAAGCATTTTATTTCGCGATTATGCAAAAAATACGATGGATAAATCATGATTTTACGCATGAAAGGAGTATGCGGATGTACGAAATTTCCTATTATGTCAACAATAAGTCGTACACACTACTTAGGATATCGGAACAGTTAATGCATGCTCATTTGAAAAACAGGAACGACACAAAAGACGCATACAATCTGTCAAACTAGATTTCCTTAGATTTAAGAAACTTCTGGAAGATTGTCAGGCAGTTGTAAGCGTAACCTCTCTGAAAAACCAAAATATGACGGAACTTTATCCAGTCTCAATTTATCATAAGAAATTCTTTTCGCACATATTAATGCTTAGAAGCTCAGAGTAATGAACTACGCTATAGTGAAATTCTGTAAAAATACAATTACATTAGAAAATGAAGTAGAGGCTTGAATTCATTGTACAAATACCAGTGGTGCACCCAGATAGTTACAAGAGTGAACTGGAAAAAAGGCACACTGAAATAAAATATAAACCGCAATATAAAACAGAATTTGAACTACCATGAAAAGTTGGAACAAACTGAACAGACATGACCAAATTACACTGTAAACAATTTCTCCATATATTAAATTAGCAGGAAAGGCTTCATACGACACAGTGAACGCAGTGAAGTCGCATAAGAGCATAATTTATGGTGGCAAAAGATGGTAGTCGACAACAGCACAAAATCCTAGACACGTTTTCGCCTTGAACGTTCTGAATTTTTTAGTTTTCAAAAAAAAAAAAAAAAATTCCTCTGAAAGCAGCTAGTACTCGTGCTCTCGTGACGGTACAAAAATGTGCAACAATTAGACTCAATTCCAGAAGTCTCGAGTACATCGAGATGGATCTTAGTTGTTAACGACCAAGTGGTTCGAAAATCAATACAAAATAATATGAGCGAGCACTAAGCGAGAGCATTGAAGCTGAGAAGAACTCCGGGAACTAGATGCATTAATCCAAGAAATGTGCCAAACGGTCAGGTACAGTTTTTATGAATTTGGACAGTTTGTGCTAATCGGTTGTTAACCTGGAAGAACGAAGGCCTACCTACAGCAGAACGGAAAGCAACACTTCAACAATTTCAAAACAAAGCTCACAAATTAATCAATAATTAAGAAGTTCTTACGGAACAATATGCTTGCTGATAAATAAATAATACATTGACAAATTGCTGCAATAGAAAACGAGTTAAAGAACGGGAGATGCTGCTTCACTACCTGTTATACTCATGGTTGCATACGATTAAACCAATATATGCCAGAGAGATGCAAACACTACTTCTTATTGCGGAAATATCATCTAAGCATTAGGATCCAATCGGAATGTCTGTAGCGAAATTCCTGCGGTAAATGTATCGGATCTAGTAATCCCTCTTTAGATTCCTCTGCTGCTGCTGAACATTCTGTCCCGGATAACGAACCCGGTGTAATTGCCCGGAACCATCCGCATTTACAACACGGCCTGACGCTTTATTGCCACGTTTAAATGCCTGTCTTTCACGATCAACTTCCAAGTCTTCTAACCTGTGAAATTTCAGCCTTCTTAAACTTTGGTACAAACTTTGTTTTAAATAATGAAATATAAAAGATCACCTTTGGGTAAGAGCTAATTTTTGTTGAATAGCCATACGCAACAGAGAATTCAATGTGCGTTTTTCATCTTCCGCTGCTCGTTGATTAGCGGCCATTTCATCAACCTATATAGAAAAGGTTAGCAGAATTTTAAATTCAAAATAATCATTGCTATAAAACTGAACACAAAAAAAAACACCATGGTCTAAATATAAAAAGAAGTTATGGTCAACTGGAATCAAGCGTTAAAGAAAGAATACCATACCTGCGCTTGAAGCTCTTCGCAACGTGCTGTAAACATTGCCCGATGAGATGCAAATGTTGCTGCATCTTCTTTGAATGCTTTTAATTCGCGTCTCAATCTCTCCAAAAGCTCATGTGTCATTGCCTTCTCACTTTCGTATTTTTCTTTCAATGACGCTAGAGCTGATTCAGCAGTAAGTTTATTCGATTTCAGCACTGTTCGTAACGTAGCGATTTGGTCCCTATAACCACATGTTCTCCCTTCATTTCATCACTTATTTTTCACGTATCTTCTCTTTTATTTTCGAAACATTGATAAAAAATAACCTTTTCGTAGCTAACAGAGAACGCAGTTTCATGTTTTGTAAAGTAAGTTCCTGATGATCCTCATTTTCCACTCGCGTGTTTAGAGCATTCTCCACCGTGCGTCGAACAATTTTTGAAAGTTCCGTAAGGCAATCTGATACTCGAAATACATTACTTTCACCTAAAATATCAAAAATTTCCCTTCATTCACTATGCGAAAATTGCACTGGCAAAAAAATCGATACTCTTCGTGAAAGCTGTTGAAATGACCTAAAAAATCCTTACCAGGAACTATTCTTTCTCTAAAATCGCTTTCTGTTAATATATCATCCAGTCGGTCACAAACTAGCTCTTCATTAAGAAATTTCGCAAAAGACGGTGATATAAATTGTCGCTGCAAGTTTAACATTAGACGTGGCGAACGACCACCTTCCGTTTCTGTTCCACTTTCAACACCTTCGTCTAAAATACATAAATACAAAACAAAACAATGTGAGGTTCAAATTTGTTTACTGCTGAATTTGTTTACTCTCCAAACCATTCAGCATCACATCAGCTGGAATTTATCTGAAAATTTTTCATGTAAAAAGGGCGAAATTCCAACTAATCTTGTATGTATTCTTCACTTTCTGCATTTTCATTTGCATATTGGCTAAGTTTTTTCATTATTTCGGCTGCATTCTTGTCGGCTTCTAATCCATGCGTGGAAACCAATTGGTAGTACAAACGATACAAAAAATCAGCAACAGCAATCATTAAATCCTGAAATTATGAGAAAGTTTTATGTTAGAAATCGATACTACGCCTTAGGTAACAAATGATAATAAAACACAACCTGAGCGGAAGCCAGTTTTGCTTGATTTTCGCCTGCAACCATAATTGCAGTATGTAAATCTGCCTTTATAAGGTCGTACTGTTCATCTCCAATACCTACTTTGGATGCACTTTCAATGAGCTGTTCTATCTTTTTTAAAGCATCATCACACAGCTGCTTCAGTTGAGCATGATCTAAGTCTGGAATAAAAGATTCCAATACAAGTTACTTGTTTATTTGCAATCAGAACAGCAGATTTCCTAGTTTACTTTCATAGAGAGAACTCTTAAAGGTTTGGATGTTGTTAAGATAAGCAGAAAAAATGCTGAATTTTGCAACTGACCTGGTGTATTTATTACTTCAAGTTTTCTCAAAACAGGAATAACATAACTGACATCCTTCTCCGTTTCCTTTAACTTCAACGCAAGTTGATCATTTTGCGTTTCTAGCTCAGTTAGTCGTTCAGGCATATCACCATGTATTTCCGAAAACAGATCAACACCTTTTGATGGCCTATTTTTGCCAAATTCATTGGAATCCGCAATAAAAGATGATTCCAGCTGTAATATATAAATATGCCAATTCCTCAAACTCAAATTTCAAGTACCCAAACACAGCACTTTTCCCACAACTCGACTGCATAGTGATGAATTATAATAAATTTCAACCTAAAGAATTCGCAAAAGAAAATGCAGAAAATGCACCTCTTTCAGTGCTTGAGAGTCATCCTCATTATTGCTTTGCAACCCAAAGAGCATTGTATTCAACTGCTGCAAATGTTCCGCATTTCGCATTAACTCCAGCTCCTTTTTATATGCTAATTTTTGATCACGTTCCTGCTGCACATTCAATAAAGCATCTTCAAGCTGGAATAAGTAGAATTATAACCCGCTATTATATTACTGCTTATAAATAAGCACTATTACAATTATTTTGTGTCAGAAGGAAGACTCAAATTTGAATTTTGCAATCATATTAGTGGTATCAAGATTATAATATTGATGTCAAGAACGCAAAACTTGATAAATTCAAACTAACACTCTCAAGTAAATTTTAACTTAAAAATGTCAGGGAATACTACAAATATTTACTACAGTCAATTTTCTCAGAGGCTTTAAGAGAAGATACCACGAGTTGGTAAATGAGATTAGATAGTCATAACTATTAACACTGCATCGAATGAATGTATCAGAAAAATTTGACGATTTGTTACCGTTATATCTCCTCCAAAAACATATTTGGCTGCAGTAAGCTATAATCAAGAAAATACGGTATATTGAAAGCGGCTTAATGGTTTGATTCACCTAGTGAATAGTGAATGAAAGATAAAAACCAATCGTACATGTTTTTGGGCCACGACAGTCAATTTATTTGCTTCCTCTTTGTCTGCCTGCAGTTGATCGTTTTCATCCATCAAACGTTTCACTTCCATTTTCATGGATTCAAATTCTATTTGTGCACTGCGCAAATTTGATAGCTAAAAAATCTTGTCGAAACAAAAATATAATACAGAACGCTCACACTGCTGAACATCACAAACACAATGATGAGGCGAAAAATACAGAAACCTGTTTCTGAAGGCTAATATTTTCCTCTTCTAGTTCAGAATAATCATTCAATAGCCTCTGCTCACGATTCTTTAACTCTTTTAAATCTTCCCTGAGCTGTCGCTTTTGTGTGTCAAGATCAGATGCTGCTTCTGAAGCATTTATATGCAAAGTCTGCAATCTGTCCAGATCAGTACGATACCTGTCCACTTCCTAGAAATATTCCATCTGATTATTGAAACAATATACTCTACGGATGATAAAATGAACCTCATTCAGAAGAATCCGATGCAACCACCTAATAAACCTACAAGTTTTCATTGTAGTTTACCATAATCACAAGATGCAAATAGAATTTACAATAAATTTCAACGATAATTTAAAAAAATTTTACATGCTGGCAATTTTTCAAATCTGTTTCTAATGCTGCAATTTTGGCCAAGTATTCCTGCTCTCGATTCATCGTTTCTTCCAACAAACTTTCTTCATGGTCGATATCGGACTTTGCAACTGATTTTTGTTGCGATTGAAACTGTGCTAACGCCTAAGCTTTATGTAAAAAATAACATTCAAGAGTGAAACGAGGACATATGATATGCTTTCACCTAAAAACCATGGATGCATCTACTTTTCAGTGTCGGTAACGAGCTCTTTTTATACATTAATTTCAATCTCAGTATCCATTTTTGAAGACAGTGACAATCGATGTCTCCAAGCAGTTAATTGCAAACAAAACCTATGTTTAAATGAATACATGGATACAAACCAACGTGCTGAGTTCAGAAATAATCTGGAAAATCCAGAACTAGTTTTTTTACTTAGAATGGAATAGGGGACTAAAAGAAATAACCATTGCATTATACTAAAATGGATCTATGGCACGCATACGAAACAAAGAAGTAAAACAGACAAAACAGTTTCGAAAGCTACCTTTTTTGTAGCTTCGGCTTCTGCTTTTGCGGTATCAAATTGCGTTTGTAGCTGAGTAAGTTTGACTTCAAGCTGTTGTTTCTCATCTAAAACTTGCAACCCATACTGGGCTGCCTAAAATAAAAATTTAATGCAACAAAAAAAAGAAACTTAGCGACTCAAATTCACTGAAAACAACTGAATAAAAGCAGCACTTATAAGTTTTTCTTCCACAAAAGATATAAAAAACAAACTTTGATTTTATCGGAAGAAGCTTCCTCGAGAGCGTTCGCTAATCGCGATACTTCCGCCTTAAGTTCGTCCAATTCCATCAAATACGTTTTCCACCAGGTCAATCCCAAATTCTAAAAGCATTGAAATGTGAGATTTAAAACAAGGAAAGCCCCGTTTTTTCACATGCGCTATAAGAAAAACAGTGAATAGGAAAACGCCATCCGTCTGTACTTCTTTTACTTTCTCCTTTTGTTCAAGTTCAACACCACTAAAAATGTACTGAAGTGATTGGAAGATTTCTGAAAAATCCCTATTTGCAAAGAACCATTACAGGGTAATGAAAAAAATTAAAGTTATAGGTGTGACACAGAACCAAAAATTAACTGAATAAGAACATAGTCACCAATTCTTTTCATGATAGAAAGATATGAGGTCGTGAAGAGTGCGATGAGCTGTAAGGCAGATGTGTCCGTTAAAATGTAGAGCTTTGGTTACCTTTTTCCCAGTACTTGCAATTCCAAAGCAAATATGATTCGGAAATGAAAAGTGAAAAATGTTTGCAATTATGTGATTATATATTTACAATTCATGATTATTTACAATTCGAGCAGCAAGCTTTGTACGGATAGAGCTACAGCTGTTACGTTTCTCAAAGATTTGTATGAATCATTCGCTATAGCCTATTTGTTAACAAAATATTTCTGTCTTCAATAATATCAGCAGCTTAACTAACGAATAATTAAACAAAATTGTTCGACATCTACCATTATAAGATTTGTACACGATTTTTAACGCACTGACTATACCGTAAAATACCGTAAAAGTTGCTCTAAATAGGGGCAAAATCCTAAGTTCGTCGCAGCTTAGTAAACATATTGTAGTTCATCGCAAAGCACAATTTTAAAACTTTTGAGACATTATTACTGTTACAAAAGAATCTAATTATAGAAAAATCGACTTAAACTACCAATTATTTAAGAACTTTTCATGCGTTCCGATCATCTTTATGCAAACATCTTAAACTCCAGTATTTCCTTTTGATGAATTCCAATCTTGAATGACCTGCAAAATCTGATAGTATTTTGAGAGGATGCATACCAAATGGATGTGAAAGCAGATGGCGTAGAACTCGAATGATAAACATTGACAGAAGTGTCTTAAATGTTTGAAAAAATTTTTTAATTTTTTATTAAAGTGTAGAAGTTTTAAAAACGAAATCCCTTCAAAATAAGTAACTAAAGAATTATTATACTACGGTTGCCTTCTGACTAGCTATTGGTGATGATGAAGGGAAGTGACACAACATTATAATAAGTTTTCAATACAAGCAATGAGCTAGATCAGTCATCTTCTTAGCAGAAAGAAATAAGAGGTTTTAATTAAAATGCAGCAGAGAAGGAAAGAAATGAAGTGTGGAAGGTGCGGAGTTGTCAAACATGAAGGAGGGGAAGATCACTGCGCGAAGCAGTGAGAGAGAAAGGAACAGACTGAAACATCGGTGACAACGGTTAAGACTGAGCATTTGTTGCTTCACAAAATGGCAGCACAGTTACTAATTGCTACTGATCAAGAAATAAATATACATGAGTCCTTAGTCGCTTTGCTTTGAATTATACATTAACGTGTTAGCAATCTGAAACGTTATATTGGTTTCCACAATATTTGGAACTCCTCTTCGACAGAAGAACACCGGGAAAATGAAGTAACCCTATCCCAATTTCAAGTGTCACAAGTGGACTTCTACGATGATTCAGAAGTAAATTATAGTCGTCAGAACTTCACTTCTGTGTCACATAGATTTTTGCATTACTTAAAGGAAATAAAACAATTTAAAAACAATTGTTTCACTCATTGAGAAAAATCATTCTCTGTAAGGATAAAGACATAAACACTTCATTCATAAGAATGCAATAATTTCGAAAGTATTCTTAGAAGTTTGAAAATTTTCATCAAAGATAGAAAGACAAGATTTAAGATTAATAAATAATCTAAATAATCTTCTCTCGTCGATCTGATATAAACACTTTAACATCAGTGATATTGATATAAATACGGATGAAAGTGTACCTTCTTTTGCACCCTTCATAATCAGTAGTGCAAATGGAAAGAGAAAGTGCAAAATTCTTCGCTTTAATTAAACCGCCGATGTGAATTAAATTTTTGAAATTTCTAACATTATGACATTTATGAAGAGATTATGAATAGAGTTTTGCTGAATTTCGGAGATACTCAGTGCTTATCCTAAATTTTCACGACGGCAGCAGATGAATGAGCTGAAAGACAAAAGGCTTCATTCAAATGTCACATTTCTCGTAACAAAGATTATCGGAAGTCATAAAGAGTGAGATGGGTAGGATACAGCTCGAAATGAAAATATAATATACACATTTCGTTCAAGAAAGCAAAATTACCACACCCACATACATACATACATACATACATACATTATACACCACATATATATATATATATATATATATCGAGACCTTCCACGAGATTACATGCTCTTATCAGTCACTAAGTATTAATTATCAAACGCATCTTCTTTTGGAAAATGGTATTAGTGGACACCTTTATAATGGTTACTCCCGAGATACTTATATATCCTTTCAGTAGACAACGTTTATTTAAATGCTACACTCAGTGTGATATTTGTAAAAGAAACATATTTCCGTTATGCATGAAAATCTCAGGAAGCTGGTACGAGATTTTTGGTCATTCTCTCAATGAACCTATTATGGTGTAACTTCATGAATACATGTCTCCTAACGTCTACCTAAATGTGTCATACAAATAATATCACAGTTTGATCCATATTACCGTTAATTGCCGGACTATGCAGTTACGAAGCGTGTATTATTCGTATATTGGTAGTTCACGGCGATCGGCTGAACATGAAACGAATAGATTTCATGTTGGTACTGAAAATATTACGTGGTCCAATGATTACACTAAACAGGATCATCCTGAAAGGTGGCTTCCTAAACCCTCCCAAACAAAATGCTTGCTCGATTATGAGCCAGATCGAGCGCGAAAGTCTGTGTACTTTTTTCTTTTTTTCCCAGAAAATAAAGTGAATTTCAGCTAACAACAGACAAAAAATTGAAGAAATCACAAAGCACATACATATACATATATAGCGTATTGAAATGCGAAATTAGGTACTCTAGAAACTTATCCCGCCGCCTCAACAAAATTAGTCGTTCCACTCTATTGTTTTAACTAAACATCACAGCATCAATAAGAGTTTCACGAAGTTTTGGAATTCAACAAAAATAAGAAATCAAAAGATTTGAAGGCATGTGAATTGATTTGTAGACGGTAAAGGAATGAGGTTTATAACAATCATGACAACGACACGATGGTTGCAGAAATAATGATAATACAAAAGAGGTCAAAACTTGTTCGACTACACCGCGACCAAACAAGAAATCCGGTTTGAAAACGATCTGTGCTCACTAACTCAGCAAATGGTAATGATAATGATGATGACTGTTAGGTGCATCTCCTTTCATATTATTGTCTTCTTCAGCAAAACGTTCCCACTCCTTTGTTGTTAGCGATCAGCGAGCAGTGAATTATTTCAATAAGGAATCTGTACTGCAGTAATTCACGATCCATTTTTCGCCAAAACACTTCTTATGTCTTAGATCGTAAATTTTTTAAGCTTAAAAAGCTCAGAGATTTAGGTGGAAACTCACTGCTTTCTTAAAATGTGTTGAATAATATTCTTCTATAAACGTTTCTTTATCTTACACGGAAATGGAAATCGCAAACGAAAAATAACTGCATTCAAAAAGCATTTTCTGCAGATTTAAAACAGCAAACAGTGGATGACAAATTTTCTGTGTTACTAACTTCTGCGGCTGGGAATATCCGCATTTACTGTACTACCAGTTATTGCTGCTCGAACTACGACCAGAACTAGAACGCCAACAAAATTGGGGTTAATTCCTCGAACAAATAATCTCTGTGTAGTTTGGGCAAAGAAACAACGAAACAAAGTTTAGTCATCATTATGACTGTGAAAAAAGTTTAAAAAAAGGCATATGTACACCATAAGAAAATTGCTGGTATCAATCGATGAATTCTAGAGAAATCCCATCAGGCAAAATATATAAATTAAAACATGGCAAAACCGCAAAACGACAACAAAACGATGTTCAGAAATGAAAACGGTTTAGGATTGGAATGAGGGAAACATCGTTACAAACGCACGTTAGCTCGACCGGCGTCAACACCTCATTTTAGCAATTCATAAATGGAGCAAGCGAGAAGTAATCTGCGTTTCCCTTTTAAAGTATATCAATACTGCAGAATTTGCATGCGTCATCAAAGAAGCCTTGTCGAAACTTACTGACATGAACTTTCTGGAGTCAACATCTGGGTATGACCTCACAACATACAATTTACTGCAAATACGTGCTGGACTCAGTATGACTACTTCTTTACATCTAATAAAACTTGTCTTGAATCTTGAACTTCTAAATAAATGAAAACACGAGTGCTTTGAACAGATGTGCTGTTATATTTTCACACAATTTTTGCATAGACCGCTTTTATCAAACGATTTCTAACAATTCCTTTTCCGGAAACTAACACAGAACAGTAAAAATTATAAAGCTTTCAGAAAATATGGCTGATGACTGCAGACGTAATTTATGTAAAAACGATATACTGCTAAATGTTTATAACCAGAGAGGCACAAACTTGACATACTTAGGAGCAATAATAAAACAGACAGGAAACTAGACAAAATTATAATACTGAGCAACGAATATGTGCGAAAATTCTCATACTATTGGTAATAAATGAATAAAATAAACTTAAAACTTTAAGTTTTCTTCGTGAAGTTAACTGCAAAAACCTCAAATCAGAATTAGCCATATCTCAGTTAATGGACAAGTCAGCAGAGCATGAAAAGAGACAGGTAATGATGAAAACGCCCATAAACCAAGTCGATGACAAACAGCAGTGCAGAAGAACAACAGATTGGTGATAAAAAATGATATGGGATACTACGAAATAATTCTATAATACAATTCAAAAAATAATAGTCAAACAAAGTATAAGAGATACTGAAACCTTTAGAACTTAGCAAAGAAAAATAAAACAGACTACGGAATTTTAAAAACTATTGAATTACTTAAATAGAAAAATAATATTTCTTAAGAATGACATTATACTTGCAAAGGGGTGTTTCGCTCATCCTGTAACACAAATTCTATATATACTTATGCACTTAAATGACATTTTGTGGCGGGATAGGTAACAGTAAATTATAGAAAAATTCTTGTTTCCAGAAGCTCGGCATCTTCCAACCGCACCAACCTTTCGTTATTACTGTGTGCAAATCCTCGTTGCCAGAGTAATGAGGATCCAAAACCAAAAATGATGATTCACCTGTTGATTCATTGAAATCGACGCCTAAAATCGTATGAGCCAACATTCCACCACCTAAAAAACTTCAGAGTTCCAAATGTAATTTTCATCGTTTAGAAAGAAAAATTGGGCAAAAGAGAACGATCGAAACCATAAATTTTGCATGTTATTTTAAATACTATATCAAACCGGAAACAATGTTTAAACCATCATGACAAAAATCATTTGAAAAATAAGACGCACTTTTCTACCAAATACCTTAGAAACTTACCAATCATAACGGGTGTACCACATGTTTTAAAATGAAGTGCCAATTGACGAATATTTCCGGTCACTTCTGTGCCTGAATTTGTCGTAAGTACCCGTGATTCGATGCCGGCCATATTTTCCAAGCAGTAACCAAGCTCTATAGATCCAATCCATTGTTGACTTCCCACAAACGTCGCATCTTTATCGCCATAATCGTACAAACTCTCAAGTTTCAATCTCCTTTAAAATTCAGACCATACTCTGAATTTCAGAAACAGAGCGATGATCTACGAACTTCATGAAAATGGACAGTGTTCTGCCTTTTATGTTCAATGATGCAATAAAAAGTGAAATTTATACAAAAAAAAAAGTTACTTGTTGAATCTCACAATGCGTTGGAGTGGGTCTATCGATATAACCTTGAAGAACAAACCAAGACCACAATGTCTGGAAAGAACGATAAGCACATCCCCAGCCACTGTCATCTATTCCATCCTTTAAAGTACTGATATTTAACAACGAATGAAATTAACGAATTTTTCAGACCATTGTTTTATAGATAACTTACCATTCCTTCAAGACGAATTAAATTATTACCCAATAGGAATTTTGCAGATATATTTTATCAGTTTCCACGACATTTTTTTAAATAAATTTTTAAAAATGTCAAGTTATGGAGACTATTAAAGTAACTCCACTTTAGAGGATTTGAACTTGAAGAAAATAAACCTGCATGTAGTGGTGGTAGTTGTAGGAGCCACTAATAATATATACTTTTCCTTTTGGTTTATCTGTAAAAAATAACAGTATCTGATAAAAAAAGCTGCAGTCCTGATAATCTCTGTTAGAGGTAGAAGAAACGCAAATCAACTTCTGCCTTTTGATTGCACAATCTTTTGCTACAAGAAAAGGGAAAAAGCTTTCCAGCGCCTCTCAACATACACTGAAGCATAATGCAATGTGCAATAAAGCTTAGCATCGGAAGTTGTATGTTCATTATCATAAAATAATAACACCACTTGAAAACGCAAAAATAAATAACACAAGTCACTCAAAAGAAAAGCAAATAGGTACTTGAAAAACTGGCCGAGAAAAAAAAATTAATTTGAAGAAATAAGTCAAAGTGAAAATCTTACAAGATTTGATATGTAAATGAGGATTTTGCAATAATTTCTGCATTCCATGTTTAAATTGAAGAGATTGGACAGATCTCAACATCGGTCTGTTAGAAGGAAGATTGAAAATACGGTGAAGTTTTGCCCGATAATTTCCTTAATGTTAAAAAATTTTGAAAATAATACATGAAGTAGTGAGTAAAGGATCGATGAGTCCGAAATAAAGTTGAATGATTCTTTTTCAAATGATCTAATGAAACATACGCAACACCATGTCATCTTGGATAACAGGATAAACCACCGACAACAATCCATCGTTCGTTGAAAACACACCGCATCTAATATTTATTAAATGCTGGAACAGCTTTTTAAAGTTAATTCATCACAAATGTACCAATTTTAATCCCTAAATAAGCTTTCCGCAATTCATTGACTAGCTACTGCACGATTTGGTGACGAATAAAACACGTCTTACAGAAAAATCTTTTGTGAGTTAAAAATAACTTCATAAAGAACAATAATTCATTTTAAAGGTTCAAAACCAACTTCGGAATTAAAATTAACGAATTCATATAAACATCGTTTAGTGAGATATAATGTTCGTTCCAGAGCTTTTCGCAATAAGGCGAGAATTTCTGTTGGACCATCACCAGACTGCACCTCAGCCACCGACGTTATCCTGGTTCTCACGTTGCAGAATACAGTAAGATCTACAACCAACTCTTTTCATTCTAGCTGCTAATCTAAGATTTTATTTTAATTAGGAACTCACTGAAATAGAGTAGAAAACTTGCTAAAAGCTATTTTATGGTCGTAAAAGTAGCACTTCTGTTTTCACTTTAATATGTATAAATCACAAAACCTTTCCTGATTTTTACAATTGGAACAAGTTTCGGTAAAGAGTTATCAGAATTCTTCTTGACTGGTATCAGTGGCGTAAAATTCACAAATTTCTGCAACAATTTCCCTGAGCACAAATTCAAACTAAGCATCAGAAATATTGAAAAACCGAGAACTCTGAGGCTTTTAACATTTCAGAAAACTTCACAGCAAATAACATACCCTTCCATTGGATAAATATCCACTTATTTGTAGCATTTCTCCACTAAGTTGCTTCATATCGACCACTTTACTTCTACCCAAGACAAAGCTATTATTCGAAATTACGAAATATAAGGATTTAATATTATCCAGTTCAGCAGTGAAAGCATTGCTTATTTCTTCAAGAAGATTCCCCTTCTTACTTATATTGATATTCACATTTAAACACAGTGATGTTTGGACCAATAAACCATGGCTAGGTTTCGTGGGATATGGTCTGCAACATGCATTGTTAAACACGATGTTCCAAAATAACATCCCAAAATTATCATCACTTGATAAAAAAATACCGTAAATCAATTCCTTTGTTCAATTTTATGATAGTATTAACATCTCGAGCTTCGAGTGATATTATATCCGCGAACAGTAACAGGAATCCTTCCGTGTCTTCAACAGATATAGCTAATGTATTTAAATTGAAAGGATACTGCACACTGACAAGGGATAAAACGCCAATAAAAGTAATATCTGAAAATCAAAACTATGTAATTTTTTGTCCAAGAGATCATTATCTGACTAGCACTGCGCTGCATATAGAGAATCTATATATTGAGATTACTATTTACAGCAAGTTTAGTATCTAGAATTATTAATAAATTCTATCCTATCCTTGAACGACTTTTATGTTTTGGAACGACTGGTCGACTTATACCACTCAGAAACTATACGTATTTGTTCATATCTGTTTAATATTAAGTTTTACTTAACTCTGTCCTTTCGTATTATATTTTTTAAACTTACTTGAAGGTAACGAACTTTCAATAAAACGTATCAGGTCCAATGCAGCATCAAAATCTGATAAACAGCCAAACAAAACGTTTGTTACGTCTGCTAATGAAACATTACCAAACAACAGAGCAGCAACGGTCTCATCCTCTTGATATCTACGGCTGTTGCTATAATTCTAAAATTATATATATTTTAAATACTAACACTAAACATTAAAAATGCATTGCGTCCATATACAAACTGAGCTACTATAATCCATCATAATTTAATTCACTTCTTCACTCTCGTTAAATCTGACTCTACTCAAAATGATTGTTGGAATCTGAAATTATGCGAACGACTGGACCCACTTCTGCACTCTGTCAAAACTTACTCGAAAAGAAATTGGTATTACCTCAAACAAGTGATCGAAATCGACTTTCCACATCAATATAATTCTAACCCGGAAGAACTTGAGCCACACTGTATATATCGAGGGAATATCTGAGCAAATACAGCATTAAATTAAGTTAAATGCAACCACTGCATACTCCACCCTCATATACATGCACACCGGTTTAATTCACTAATCAGGATGACGATGACTTGCAGTTATTATACGACTCAAAATATCTCAGCTGTACATTCGCAATGTACAAAGAGTTCTCATACACACTAGGAAGTATTCGGGTTCTTAATTAGATCCAAAAACTGCCAAGAACCACAAAAAATTTTGTGAGCCATTCCCGGGAGCATATTAACTTACCAAATTAATTCACGCCAACGTACACTCTCATGAACAAACAGAAAATCCATGCAAGTCCCAGCGACATCTCTACATATATCAAACCCAATTTAGTGGGCATTTACTGTTCGCTCTAAAAACTTCAGCTTAAGTGCATAATTCCCATAAACAATGTTATCGCTAACAGATGAGAGCAGTAATGCGTCACTACACTCAACTCCTGAGTCACAAGCATAGCTTGTGTAATGAAATTTACGCCAAAGAGCTCTTCGATTCAATCTAGCGTACTCCATTAATTTCATGATTCTAATAACTAGGTTTTTAGTGGGTAAATGCAAATATTAGAATCCAGTATTTCTCATGGTACTTTTGATGAGCAAAAAGATATGATGTATAAGAAAATGCATTAGAAAAAAATGACAATTATCGCAGTCAATGAATACATTAATAACCATCTTTTATCACGCATAAACCGAATACGTCAGTTACATTACAATAAAACTACCTCATATGAAAGCTCTAATAAGCAATGAATACTACTTTTGTACACGTGGGACAACAATAAATTCGTATGAGTCACAATAGTAAACGTAAGCAAATTAAACTCTAGAAGAAATTAAACTTAAGGGAGCGCACAGCTATCCATGAAACATTATGAAAATAGATATTTCACGCGGCACGAATGTTAAAATTTCGAGGAACAAAATAGTGAATTACATAAAAGCAACACATTTGACTAAAACAGTTATGTTATAAATGTTCGGGTAAAAAATTTTCAAGGAAGAAGGACTTTTGCATGATTATATGAAGTGGTTTCCGTGGTTTCTCGGATATATTGGCCGTAAGATTAAAAATGGGAAGGATTTCTTACATAGATCAAACGACGGAAATGATATTACAGTTGCATCAGTGTTAAAACTCTGCACAAGTGATGATTATGTTAGAAATCATCGAATATTATTATAACTTCCATGATAAAAACGAACGACTACTACTAATATGACTTGGCAAATATTCACATAAAGAAGAGGGGAATGAGTGAAAATGGCAAACATTTGAAAAAACGTTCCTGAGAACTTATCTCTTCATACTAGTGAAATCGATATTTATCTTGAAAAAAACATACGGATAGTAGTCATGCATACCCAACGACATCAATATTGGATTATCTTCGATAGCCTAAAAATCAAAATCCGAAAAATTTTTCAATTAGCCTGGAACTATAATATAATGAAAAAATCATTCAATTATTCAATAAATTTGAAAAAAAAACCTCAATCGGACCAGCAGCAGATGTATCCAAATGCAAATAAAGATTATGAAGTGCTGCTCGTAATTTCTTATGCGAATTCTTATTTGGTTCTATGACTGTTGCTTGGAAGTTTACGGGTAGACCATATCTGAAAAATTAAATATCAATAAATTAACATCTATAAAAAAGTAGACTGTTAAAGGAGATAAGGTTTTAAAAACATATAAAAAAACATTCCATGCTAAAAGAAATAATGTCTTAAGACTGCAATCGATCTTGACGTGTCATTAGCCTCTTAGTGAAACAAAAAAGAGATGTAACGATTGATAGGTCACTGTAGTTGAATAAATCTAATCAATAGCAAAGCTAGCGGCATATGGATATCCATTTCCGAACTTATGATGGAAATATCGGCCTCAAGCTATTTACCTGAGAACACTTTCAACAAACACTCGCAATGCTTTCACATGAACAAAAGCAGAGAAAATTTCGCCAAAATTGATTTTTAGCCATCGAACAAGTGGGGCGTACTGGCGCTGCTTTTCTTGCACCAGCTTATCGCGCTCATTACGACCTATTTTCAAAGATTCCTCATCATAAACGAAATCTCGGACAATGAACCTGGAAAAAATACTATATATACTGATTTGAAATTTCCTTTTCTTTTGTTAGAAATTTCAAAAAAAGTTGATATTAACTAGAATAAGAAAAAACAGCTAAAGTAATTTTATGAAATGGTTATACGAATTACTTAATACTGAATTTTACAGCTTCCTCCACTTACTTGTTCTCTCTGCAATGTGCTTTGTATTCATCAATTACTTTTTTGAACAGCGTAACAGAGAACAACATCTGGTCACCATCTTCAGTAATTAAGCGACTTGATCCAGGCACCACCATATCAGATAATGTTTCATACTTTCGCTGCCATTCCTTCGCCAACGTTCTATTTAAACAGAGATGCAAAAATTACTATTCTTTTATAAAGAAGTTCGAAATACGACAAAGTGAAGTTAACCAAACCGAACCATTAGATCATTTCTGGCCCTTATACTGAGATCTCTGTTTCTTCCTGCGAAAACAAGAGAAAACATATAAGACTACATTTCAAAAAGCTGCAAAGACGGCATTTTACCTTCATCAAAATATCGAATAGCGATGATGGCAAAAATCAGCAAGGTGCAAGAGTATAACTGACGAGAATATGAATGAGTATATAAGGGTATATAAAATTAAAAATTCTGTTTCAAAGAGGCATGACTTAAAATTTTTTAATAAAAACAAACTCTTAAACATACTTTGGTATGACCACTAGCAACGTTTGTAGATATTCTGAATTGAGGATAAAATCATCAGCCTTCACAATTTCTGATAAATCTTTCGTTAACAAACTGCCTCTTAAAAGTGCATTTGGTATTTCGATGTTAAACATCAAAAATACGTAAATTAGCTTGTTACTTTTAAACTGATTTCCCATGTCGACTTCCAGGCAGGCCCAGGCGATCGAATATCAAAGGATATTATGACTATTTTGGTGCTCGAAAAATGAAACTTCTACGGACTATTTTTTGAATTCTTAATAATATGAAAAGTCAGATTATGTCTGAAACATACGTTGCTTTTCGGTCGATTGAAGCAAGAGTATTTTTGAGATTATTGTAGGTAGTGGATTTTGTCTTCAAATCATTGTCAATCTGCGTGATTTGCTGAAAATCAAAGTGCTATGTTTTGCAAGATCATTTGTGATTTTGAAAAATTCAACTTACCTTTCCAATGATATCACTTAGCAGTTTTAGAGATTGCTTCAGGGGATATTTTGCACTTTCCCACTGGAACTTGGTAACATAAGTTTTCACGTCTTCTGAAAAAAAGCCGAACATTTGGAATATAAAATAAGGCTGATGGTGAACTCAGAGATTTTCATGTCCAGAATTCTATCAGATGATCAAGTTTAAACTTACTTCCACTAACGACAAGATTTTCCTGCAATTTGTCTTGCTCATCTTCTAGAACGTCAGCGAAGTACTGTGTTAATTTCCGTGTCACTCTAAAAAAAGTATTATAGGTAGATGGGGTCGCTGAGCAATGTAATCCAGAACTGCTAACTTGCGAAATATTAAGGCAAAGGAAAATACTTCATACACATACTGTTCTGCAGCAGTATCCAATTTGGCCAAGTCGTCAGATAAACCGACCAACTGATCCAAAGTGCCTACCTGTAATTACGATATTAACTCAATTTGCCAGTAAAATTATCATGCCCAAAAATTAGGCCTATAAATAATGAAGTATAATTACGGAAATTTCCGCTGGTTCAAGTTCCTCCTTTCAAAATTCAAAAAATCTTATAGCGATTAGGGACACCAGAACTCCTAGATTAACTCTCTCAACTTACGGTCTACTTTTTTTGTTGCTAATACAAACATATAGTTGCTCAAAAGCACAGACAGATACAAGAAAACAAAACTTACTTTCAGATCAGGAACATTGAATTTATAGTTGACGGACATATTGTTAGTTGTCCGATTCAATTTATCCCATGTTTCCTGTGGGGAACCCTCATTTGGTGCTGAAATCAACCACAAATCCCCTGGAGCAAAAGACATCCCACCTGCAATGATATATAATCTGAAGTAGATTTTGATCGAATAAGGCAACACAATCGGCACTGGGAAAGTGAATGGGCCTCGTCGTTCACCTAAACCCATCTCCTCACATAAACTCTACAAACCACATCCTTATTCGCACATCCAATATCGTATTACAAGTCAGCCGCCCTGAACAATAACCAAAGATCAAGTCGGTTGCAGAGAATCGTTATGAAAACCACTGGAAACCGCCGAACGGTATTCGCGAAGCGACACTGTTTACCGTTGCGTCGAAGAACCTTTCTAGGCCAGAAGTATTTAAGTGGTTCTTACATAGAAACCTGAGTTAGATCACATGAACCACTTCCTGTCGACATAGCCTCAAACCACCGATACTCATGCCCTGGTGAACTTTAAAGTTTCGTTCGTACGCTTCCTTTACCCCTTTAGCAGTATTACCCAGATACATCAAGTGAGCCATAAATTTCCAGTTCCTCCCTGTTTTGTGATGAAAAATAGTATTTTGGATATGAATGGAATTTCTATCTCGCTAAGGATCTGCCCATTCCTAAATACTTTTACCCCTTTTTGCACAGTGTGCCGCAATAAAAAACAATACTGCACGGCAGATTTTTTATTCGCAAACAAAACGAATCAACAATATAAAAAAGAAACATACAGCGCACCAGGTTTTGCACAGAATTTTAACAGTTATTTAACTTGAATTCGGGAAACAAAAGTAAATTTCTGAAATTCTGCACTCCTTAAGAGGTACATGCAAAACAAAAAGTAGTAAAACTTCAGAAATGCTTAGCATGTAGCATTTTTTTTATGATGACTTTTTAATAAAACGTAAACAAATTTTGGATACCCGAAGTGAACAAAAAAAACTCCTGATTGAATGATTTACGTCTATGAAAGTCATAACACCTCCACGTAAAGAAGCTGATGCAGTGGCAAATTCTGAATATAACTGGAACAACCAAATATATCTAATCATCAAATTTCATCCTTTTATTTTGGATTGTTTCTGAACGTCCACCAAAACTTCGTTTATTGCCATGATCAACCGCCCGTCCTAAAACCGAATGATTCAGCCTGCCTATGAAAAAAACACTGAGCTGCATTGCTGAGAAAAATTAGGATTTCTACATCTGATGCACCTACATCAAAGAAGCATTTGGGCATCATAAACATCATATCATTTCCTGTTTCTTATAATTTCGAAATTACAAGCCTACTGTCTTAATGATAACGATTCAATATTTACCTTTTCCTCGGAAACCGCCTCCATACTCACTTCCTCGATAACCACTGCCTCGACCACTCCAATCTCCACCACCTCCGAAATTTCTACGACCACCACCTCTAAAACCACCTCGATCACCTCCACCGCCTCGACTGAATGAGTTCCCTCCTCGACCTTGAAAAATAATTGCATGTAAGATTAGGAATGAATAGAATTAATGAATAAATATTGTGCTTTAAAAATGAGCCTACCACGCAATTTACTTCGATCATTGCCACCACGACCACCTGAAATTAATATCCATGAAAGCAGAGATGTAAAAATTTGTTCATAGCTTAAATTTATAATCTCGGATCTTCACATTATACTCTACCGACCGGAACCGTTCAGATCTACGACAGTGCACGAAATACAATTAAAAATGCTCTAAAAAACTAATTAAACTAACCCCGTCCATTACCACGTACTTGCCGTTTTCCTCGTTTATTTGGGCCATTCGGCAAAAACCGGTCAATAGGCAAAAGTCTTCCTGAATCAATATACACCTTTTGTGCTTCTTTGAAAGAGGAAGCTTTAATACCACTTTGCAGTTTTACAGTGAATCCCTTAAAACATCGTCTTATTTTACTTTGGAAATTCAAAAAAAAAAAAGCAGGAGTCGTATCCACTCTAACGCGACATATTCCCATTAGCCTACAACAATTCCAATAACCAGGATCAACATGACTGGCCACTTGGTAAAATAATGTACCTGCTGATGATATAACCGCAAACAAAAACTAAGTTCGACACGGCTATGTATAGACAACTAAAAGAAGTTCATAAAATCAACCGTCAACTACTCTTCTGCATACGAGCGATAGTAAGACTGCTAATGACTTGGAAAAACTTAGAATGCTGAAAAATAGAAAAATCTCGATTTTCTTACAAATTTAAGCTCTTATCGTGGCTTAATTGTAACCATCCACTCCAATTCCTACTGTATAAATAAATGTCCATGTTGAGTGTTAAGGTACATTAATTAAATTCGATTACATAAGAATTACATACATACGTTGTCTTTAATACCGCCAAAGATTTCATCAACTTTGCCAATTTGTTCTTTGTTTTCGAAAAATATCGTGGCGTTGAAGTAAGGAATTTTGCCCGATGTATTGTGACAAACGATATCGTCTTCACATGTATGCGTGAAATATCCTATTTCTATAAACAAAGTATTATTTAGAAAAAGATATCTCATGTTATCATTCAAATTAAACAGAAAATTCTATCGAGATAAATGAACCGATAGTTTTTAGCCGTGAGCATGATTCCTTCAGCGATGCGGTTCTGATCAATTAGAGAAAAAGTATCTCATGAAATAAAGGGAAATAAACCTCGATACACCAGAACAACTTGCATGAGAGGGAAATAAACCTTGATATACCAGAACAAGTTGTATCAATCAAATGAAATAAGAATGTCGATAACAACCCCACATTTCTTTTCTCGCTATTAATGACATGTCACAACCTTCCCATATGATTTAACACACTCTGCTACTGGGAAACAATTTGCGCTGTTCACTAGCTATGACGAAAGAGTTAGTTACCAGTCACTTGTTCCGGAGAACCTTGATCATAGCCACCATTGCGATTACTTCCACCCCGATTTCCTCTTCGTCCACAATGTCTAAAACTCCCGAATGCTCGACCACCGCCACCTCGACCTCGAAATGACATTTTCTGCAACGGAACGTGAAATGATATTTAAAAATTAAAGGAAATATACACAAAAATTCAATAGGTATTAAAGTAAAAAACATTTCCTCTGTAATATATTATGAGCATTGCATGAGCAAGAACGCAAATTTAAAATGTTTGCATAACAAATCACTTGCTTTACAAACTGTGAGCAAAATAAATGATAAATAAGGAAACAAGGAAATGAGGCTCACTTCCTGAAGAATGTATTTTTGTTATTAATCAGGAATAAGACCTAGAAATGAGTCCCATCATTACGAATTACGAAAGGTTACCAAAACCGACTCCACAAATCGGAAAACCACCAGCTACAAACCAGCCCTCCGCCGTTTTATCCCGACATCCTTGCCCACAGCAGATCACCTTACTTCCTAGTTGCATCTCTGTAAAAATGTCTTGACAGGAAGGCGCGGTATGATTGCTTATCGTCCCAGGAGTTCTCGTTAACTTGGTTATAGGAATAAATGTTCGACAGGCTTCGATGTTATGATCTTTCTATTCGAAAGGCGTCATTTGGTAAGGTACGAACGATGTACACTGCTAAAGTCATTGTAAAAATTGCAAATTTGCTCTTCATATTGAGTGGCGTTTACGGGGGTCAGTGAATTAAAATTTCGATAGTTCTGAGTGTAGCGATTGATAATTGTGACATCAGGATGGAAAATTTTAAACTTTAAAAGGCACGTTTTTTGAACAGATTAGTATCTAACTGATATATGGCAGTCGTATCGTTGTCGACAAGTAACTAATCAGTGGGTTTCCCATATTAAATATTGAATTTGAATTGGTTTCAACAAAAGTAATCATCCATATGCGAGGCTCAAAATGGATTCCATTCCACAGCGTCACACCACGTCGAGCTCCCCACTCCAAGAAATTCAACAACCTCCAGCTCTTGCCGTCAGTAACATTGAATCGACTAGTAGATCGAGGCGTAATAAACCTCGTGGTCAGTTTTTTCTCTACTTGAAATTTTACCTTTTTCACCTTGCTGGTTGCTTGCTGAGTCAATTTATTTATTCAGCCAAGCTTTTTTAATACTATCTCAGAACCAGAAACATACCAGAACATCCTGTTGTGTACCTTAGTACTTATTGATTAAACAGCTGAAGATACCCCAGCTGCACAGTGTGGTGAAAGTAATAATGACACTCAAAATTTATTTTGACAGTAAATCGAACGATGATGTCTTTTATATATCAATAATTCAATGGGTTTAAGCGTATGTAAAAATTTAATTGATCTTTTACTCTACCTTTTCTCCGTAAAGTGGACTTTTTGTAGCGTATCACCACTATTTGTTTCCAGATTTGGATTTTTAGTAGAACAGAGTAATACATATATACGATAAAGAGATATTTTATTAGGCGAGAAAAACTTTTGTAAGCAATAACTTTTTTTTAATCTTGAAATGGAAACTTTCTCTAATAAATGATTTTTCATACAAAAAAATCAATATTAATATTTTCTTTGACTTTTCCATCAATAGTGCTGACTAACGTTTGATGAAGAAGAAGTAGATCGTTGTATTAGGCTTTTCTCTACACTGTATATAATATTTTTAAGTACTGGAAAGTACTTTTCTATATCACCATGACTTGGGAATAGTAGGGTGAATTTATATAAACTGTGCAGAGTAACTGTATTTCACTGACACTTGGCTGAAATAAAAGCGATTTTTGGTAAGTGACAAATTTCAATTAGGAGTAATGATAATGAGATATGGATTGCGTTAGGGCAGTGTTTAAAAATCTCCTTATGGAAAAGGAGATAGTGAAATAAAGAACAATCTATAAGGAAAACATAGTGGCTGGAACCATTTTTTATCTGCAAACACAGATTTGGTATCAGTTTGTACTTATTCTTCATGAACTATTCGTGCTTATATATTCATCGCAGCTTTATCAATTTCCAATTACTGGATTTGAATTTTCTAATGGTTGCAAAAATTAGTTTAAATGAGAACTTACTAGCTATTCGGGTCCTGCGATTATAAAATTCAAAGTCCGTTGTCATGTGTTAACGGAATACAAGCTTTCTGAGTATAGAAATAATGTTTTGATAGTAATGTGAGTTTTATGTTGTAAGTTTTGCATACCAGAGGGGAAATACTGTTGCCTCATTCCGAAGAAATTGATTGGGGAAGGGGGATTATTTGTCCAGCTCAATGCACTGTACTGTTGACGTGGGTTTTGGTTACACTTCACTTTTGCAATGTTTTCAAAACGAAAGTATCCGGTTGAAGAGCAAGATTTATCTGGTAATTTAATTAATTCTTCGGTTTCGTAATTTCCTACCAGTTTCGATCTATAATTTTAATGTGACAACTTCCAGATACAAAACTTCGTCAACAAAAATTACCTGCATGGCAGCCGATACTAACTGCGTCAACAGTTATACCGACAGTTTTTGGAATTGGCGTTGTTTTTCTACCTATTGGTGTCGCTTTATTCTTAGCCAGTCAGGGAGGCAAGATATTATCTTATTTCGATTTTGTTAGCATGTGATATGATTTATCCTCAGAGGATCACTTTTCGGTTGTATTTATTTTCCAGGAAATAGGTAAGTGCCGACAATCAAAAATTCGGAAAGGGTATTAATCGCTAGTTCTTAATCCTATAATCCTTAGATGCAGAGGCTGTTTTATAATTCTGTAAGACCTGAAAATATCAGCAGTTGAAATTAGTATTGTTATAGTGAAAGAGTCGATCACGGATTATACAGCATGCAGTGTGCCTTCACATAAAGCTTGTGAATTTGTGATTAAATTGGAGAGCGATTTTCAGGTTTCCAGTTTTTCCCGTCATCTATTTTGATAATTGCTGTAACCGTGAACCTGCTTAATTGATTAGAATGTTGTTTTGTAACTTTGAAAATTAATTCCAGGGTGATGTTTATTTTTATTATGCATTGGACAATTACTTTCAAAATCATCGGCGGTATATGAAAAGTCGCAGTGATAGCCAACTTCTAGGCGATCTTCAGGCAGACATTTTTTGCAATTTGATGAGATGAAAAAATGCACAGAATTGATGCAGTTCTTTCAAAATCTGAGTGTAGAGTTGAGAAGTTCAAAAATGCTATGAGATTTCAGAATGTGGGCGATTGTGAGCCATATGCATATTTAAACACATCATCAGGCCGGAAAATTATTGCTCCCTGTGGTGCAGTTGCGAATTCCATGTTTAATGGTTAGAAAAGTGATTCTAACTTTTGTTGTGCTTCTTGTTTGAAAACCAATTATTACAACTTCTTTTCAGGTTCATCCTAAAAATTTCAGATTCGTTTACATTGTATCGTAATGGCAGCAATGATTCAGTACCTTGGACTTATAAAGGTGTTGTTTGGCCAGTTGACAGGAACAGAAGGTATAGGAATCCACCTGGAAAAGACCTTCAGCAGGCTTTTGTGGTAAATCTTTTTTTTGGAAAAGATAGCGAGACCAGATTAAAAATATGGTTGTAGTCTGGTTTGATATCATTTAAATTCTAGATTCTGTTCATATTTTATAATGTAATGTGTTTATGAACTTGTGATTTCAGAAAACTGTGAAACCTCCTAATTGGCAAAAGGCAGTATATGAATTAGATCCAGATAATTCCGACAATAATGGATTTTTAAATACTGATTTCATCGTATGGATGAGGACAGCAGCTTTACCTGATTTTAGGAAGTTGTATCGTATTCTAGCCCGTTACAAGAACCCATTATACAAGAATGGCTTGCCTGCTGGAATATACAGTCTTGTGATCCAGAATAGTAAGTTATTTTCGGCATAGAAAGTTTTACCAGTCTCATAGAAACTGAAATATTGTATCATCATATATATGAGAATCATAAGCATAAATGTGGCTGTCAAGTTATAGCAATCTAACAAAAATGCAAATATTTAATCGAAACTCTTAATTGACTATCTTTGCAAAAATTTTATAATCGTCTTGTAGGAAAGCAGATAGTGATTACTGGAATTTAGTGAGTTAGCATAATGGGCGTATCACATGGGCGTGCTTGGAAGTTTAAGCATTTTTCGTATTTTGTCGTCATATCTGTTCGATTTTGAGAAAAAAGAATATTAAACGAATCTTTATAATGCGTCGATTTTGTTCCAGTTATTACTCTCAAGCTGTTGGGATGCTGACAGTCTTTAACTGCCCTTTAATACTATCGCATATTTGTGTTCTTTGCTCTGATATCTAATCCCATTCCTTTCTTCGAGTCGCAATATGAAATGCATTTCAGATTACCCAGTAACAGTGTTTGGCGGTCGGAAATATTTTATAATAAGTACAACATCTTGGGCAGGTGGTAAAAATGCGTTTTTGGGTATTGCTTATATTGTCGTTAGTGGCATTTGTATCTTGTTCGGTGCAGTTTTCCTGTTAATACATCTGAAATTCGGCACATCGTAAGTTTATTACCTTTGTCAAAAGTTTTTGTACGTAGTACTCAGAGTTTGCATCTTCATGAAGCGGAAGATGCATTCATTGATCTTCTTTTCATTCTTTTTCTATACAGCATTTCCAGAATAAAGGCAACTTTTGCAGATCAAATGAAGCTGGGAATATTTCTCAAGTTTCACGATAGCTTCAATTATTCTGATTCTTCATCTGTGTATTTATTGTCGTTGGAAAAAAGCCGTCTGTTCCATGGTCCATTAACCACTGCGAACTATTCGAAATAAAAGATCTTTAATTTTCCTTCGAATAGTTAAAATAGAATACGCCGAATAAGATATTATGTATTAGAATACACCGAATAAGATAATATTAATTGTGAAAAGTCCTCAGCTTTGCTCTGTAAAGCTTGTTTTACCGGTGCATGACAAAGGAAGTAAGTTTTTTTGTTCCACTTTTAATATTTTCCTCATCTCTTCTACTCTGACGTAGGGAGTATTTTTTTTTTCCAAATCGAGTTGAATTCTGTTCCGTATTGTCCTTCAATGAAATTGAATACGTCTTTGAGTTTCTTGCATGTGTTTAAATATTCGCATATTTCTTTTGTCGTTTCCAAACTATTAAATGTTAAACTTATTGTAAAAATCATTTGCTTACTGTGATCAATGCATTTTTGTTATTTTTCACGCTTTGTATTTACGCTATCAAGTTATGATTTTTCCAGAAATTATGTGATAACAGCAATGAAGTGCACTTCATTCCAAATCCGATTGTTATTTATTATATGTCGAAGTGAGAGTTTCTTCCATTCGTACTTTTTTTTTCTATTTCACGAAGTGGATTCATACAAAAGCTGTTAACCATATGTCTTGATTCATCCATGAAACTATTAATGAATGATACTATATATACACGGACCTGTTACGCAATGTTTCACTGAAGCAAAGAAGGTGATTACACTGAAGATGTATAACCAGCAGATGCTGGTAATGTCAGTCGTTCAGGACATCTTTTCGAGAAGTTAAGAATGTTTGAAGGGCATGCAGTGCAAACAAAAAAGCAATGATTTACCTGTAGCATTCTACTCTCTTCGGATGAGGTTACCGGTGGGTGTTTAGCAATTAATTCATTTAGGTTCTAATCAGTTCTAAAAAGTCGTAAGAGCTTGTTTTACCTGTTATTTAATTGTTCATAATTGATAAAGCTAGTTCATGGTTTTCAACTTTATTGGTAGGGATGGTTTAGAAATCGGTTATTCGTAAAAATCTAGTCTTATCGACGTTAAAAATCATTCATGTTTTCGTTTTGTTTACCAGTTTTTAACTATGTTTATGGTAGCATTATTTCCTGATGAATAAAAGTCCGTGAATTCTTAACCATTTCAATTGAAAGATAACTAACTTTAGCTAAAGATTTGTGGATTCTCAATCGGCAAACATAGCTATCGTAAGCGTGATTAAAGATTGGTAATCAAAATGAACTGAGTGAAATGATTTTGGACTGTCGACAAGATTGGGCTTGAGAAAGATGACTGATTTCTAAATTAGCTATTTCAAGATTGTAATATCATCAAGAATGATTGAATATTGCAAGTGACTATTTCGTTGGAAAAAGGGGGTGCCTTAAAATGAGTATAAGGTGGTTCAGTAAAAGGGCAGGACAGCAGTTCAATCCTTCACGGCTGTTTATTCTTGTATTCAAGTCAGATTTCAGACCTTAAAGGTCTTTTTAGATTCAAGTGACTGCACTGCTGCAACTGCAACCGACTGCATTCGCAATCGGATCGAATATTAGAATATTTTATGACGGTTAAATCAACAGCTGCTCAACAGCAAATCAGATTCAAATACCATTAGTGCGGGTAGTGCAGTGATTTCACAAGTGATCATGCTGAGAAACGTAATCGTCACAAGCTATACATTCATCGGTTCCTGCATTCTCAAGCATGTTGATAACCACCTTGGCTGCTTCTGTGAGTATTTTCTGAATGATCGATTCCATACCTTCCGGTCTGTTCAAGTGTTCCAATTCTGCATTGCTCAATTCTAGCTCTTTTGGAACTCGAGAGTCTTCACTCCAGTTTTCCCAATCTTTTTCTGCCATGACCTCTTCACACTGCTTGGTGGCCGCTGCTGTTGCAATATCCATTTCATGGTCACAGTCACCCAACTGATCCGACAAATCTTCTGATTCGTCTTCCATCATATCACCCTCGTATGACGCAGTGGCTAAGGATCCTTCGCTCTAAAATAGGAACGTAACAAAAAGATTCCAGAATAATTCTCTTTTGAAATTTAGCAGGGAAAATCCGGAGAGATTTCTGAACCTCCGTATTGTTTCTGACCTCTTTGATTAGTAGAGTACATTATTCACAGTTTCTCAGGCAAGTTTCGTAAGCGTTTTTTAATCATGAAAAATTATGCTTCGTTAAATGAAAATGTAAGGTGTATAAAAAGCACTCCACTGCAATGAGAAAATTAATTCGATAGAAGTCAGTTAATCTAATCTAATATGACAAAACTTCAATATTTTTTTTAAAATACGTTTTCCTGTCTTCGCACATCGTGTTGATTGCCTTTGTATTATGCACCATTAATCGTAATATATCTTCATATTGCGGCCAACAAGTAGTGTGCCATCTCAAGTTTAAATTGACGCTTGATGTTGTTTAAATAAAATACTTTGCTGCGGCAAAATAAGATATGTTTGGTCTTAACTCTCTTTTTGTTGAGGAATTTACATAAAATATTGTTTGATGCGACAATATCGGCTATCTTTAAATGAAAAACGTTTTAGATGAGTTAGTTTCTAGTATTTCTTAAAACAAAAAATTTTCCCTTGTATCCATGCAAAAGGAGCTTGATTACAAATTGAAATACACGTAAGTTGACTTAAGTCATTCTCAACTCGACTTATGTGAATTTATAAATATTTTTTTGGGATTCCTTGTGCACTTAAAAGAACTGCCACAATATACATACTACGAAAATTAATTGTGGGTGTAAGCTGGAGTTGGTGTGGTTCATAACACAGAGATGAAAGCATCAATACTTTACCAAATACCAAGTCTTTCTCCGCCAGCTCCAAAGCTGTCAGAAAGATGCGCAGACGTGCATATACTACGACGACCTAACAAATAGCATCTAATATGCATCCGTTAGAAATAAAAAAGACGGGTTCTCATTATGTTTGCTTATAATAATCCTATTTGAAATAGCTGATATGTTTTCAAAAAAAAGAGCTGCTGACAACCGTGTTAAGGAAGCAGTCTACTAATATCAGCATAAATCGCCCTCCGGTTGAATGCTAACTGTGGGTCGCGGCATAAAACTGGGAATTTTAACCGTTTTTCTCAAGATTGTGATGTATTACATTTTAGGCGTGTACGGCCGTCGCCAAAGAATGGTGTTATAGGTAAATTGGGAACATGACATAACTCTTCCATTGAAAGCAAAGTAATGAAGGCTGGTTTCATCGTTAAAGTAAATAATTCCGAAAATCGATTCTAGTAAGTTAGTTGCTTTGTCTAGACATTATTTAATTTACAATTTAGAATTTACCTGGCTTGCTCATGAATATCTATCTGTCTTTCGCTTTCTTAGCTCCATGGAACTATGTGTTTTGACCAAAAAAAAACTACGTGTTTTGACCAAATCAACCGCAACAAAAAAGGTTTGGAATTATTAATTCGTATGTTTCTTCTGGATTAATCGGAGAAAGGAACATCTCAATGTAAAAAATGTGAAAACTATTGAGGAGTGTTTGCTGTCAATCCTGGTTCGTATTTAATACCAGAAGACAATGCCTCCTCATAACTAGAAAAATTCGAAAACCACAGTGAGGCATAAAACACAGATAAAATGATGTGAGCAAATTTCATTTGGCTTGATTATTTTTGTACGCTTTGCAAAAAAAAGTTTCTAGATTTCACTAACAAAGGTATTATGACTAAAGCAAATCACATCTCAGTTACTTCTAAATTATCAATCCGAAACTACAATAGATCTGCAAATCTTAGTGAGAACGGAATGTGAGTGCAATTCCCGTATAATTTTAACTCCCTATTTTAATTCGTAATTTCATCTCTTATGAGCATCCAATGAAGAAACCTGAAGCATTGCGCCATCTAGAATTCTTGCAACCGTTTCACCGCATGAATTCACCTCATTGTGAACAGCTTCCATCAAACGAATTCGGAGTAAACCAATGACATCATCCAAATTATTACGGCTTTTCTCCCAAGTATTATCATCTTGTTTGAACATTTTTTCACTGCCAACTTGATATTTTCTTTCTGCAGCATAAATAGCAGAAAGCTGTTGCTCATGTACATTAACTACTACGGCAAATTATCTTCAACTTTCACTTATGTTACCTTATAATAACCGATCAAAGCTGCACCCAAGATATCTCGAGGAACCCCAGTTTTCAGCATCCTACCAGCTAACATATCTGTCTCACCCTACGCTCACCTATATATATCTCCCATTCGCACCATCATCACCGCACTACAGCACTTTTGCGCGCTTCTTTGCAATTCAAATCTGGCACGTCAACAAAACGCATAATTTGCATGAATTGGTAAGATTTGCACGAAGACACGTCTCTCTGCACGAAGATATAACATAAAGCTTGCGTGAGCGTGAGGAAGTGTTTTAGGATGAGTTATGTGAGTGGATGAACGGGCGCAGAGTGCATACATGCTATATCAAGATGATGATGGATCGGTGAGAATAACTGCTTATCAAAGTTGTTACCATTTTCTACAGTAATTCTTCAGGTAAATATAATTCATGATGATATTTTGGATGAATTTTTTTGGCAGTTTGCGAATTTTGCATGTCGATGGTATATCATGCCTGATAAAAGACGGTGAGAAGAAATCAGAGGAAAGGAGGAAAAGTAAAAATAGACGAGAACATTGAAAGTTATTACCTCATCCAAACCCTGAAGCTTTTTTAGGTTCTTTGCCTTATATTATTTTTTGCAGGACTTTTATTTCTGGGTCTCACTGCACAAGTATTTTCCATATCATGATCACACCGACCGATTGTGGACAATGCCTCGACTAAATATTCCGGAATTCCATTCTGTGAAAAATGATTAATATTACCTCCTAACTTTGTGTTATCTTACTTTCCTCACTCCAACACTTTTTTTTATAAATGGAACATAAAAATGGCAGATATCAATTTGTTAGATTTCCTTTACTTTTTTTAGATGCCATTATTTTGTGTGATAATAGAATGTCAATTAGAAGTTTTGGTCTTCATTTTTTTACTTGTATTTATGCATTTGAATGGATGTTCTGAACCGAAGTCTGTACGGAGCATAATAGCAAGTATCGAATTTATGACATTTCAAACGAAAATTTAGACAGAATTTAGACATTTAGACAGTTTGGCAATGAACAGCATGAAATTTCAGGCCATATGCGGCATCTTTATGGAGACATCAAAGAAGCAGCTAATACGTTATTGAATTCTATTTGAATTGCATGAAGTGACATACGGAATTATATTAGCAAGCAGGTTGAAAGGAAGATTTAAGTGACATTGATACACGGCTGAGTCCAACATAATTGGGTATCGACGTTGGCTGGTAATTTCCGGTTCTAATGAAAAGTTGGGGTCAGAGATCTTTTTTCGATTTTTAAAATTTCGAAATTAGAGCAAAATGTTTCGACACTGAGATTATTTAAGCTGTTGCAGTAGCATAGCTACGTAAAAAGCGATATTGGATATACTATAATTGAACAGAAATACTTGTAACAGAAATGAATAAAAAAAGATATGGTAAAGTCTATTTTTAGTGGAACTGTTTCAAAATTAAATAGACCGTAATACAATAATTTTGAAGCTTCAGTCCATGCAAGAAATGCAGACCAAAAATATTTACATGATCAAATTCGAATCTGAGTTCCATCTTAATCAGTCCTACACAGAGGATAGTTTCCAAAGGGTTAAATCTGTCCTATTTTTCTGTACTGTTGCAAACTCACTTCTATATATGAAAACATCGTGGGTGGTCCGTAGCAATGCGCTGCGTTGACGATGTGGACCACCGAAGATGTTCGCTGCAGCAATTAAGTACGTTGCCGAACGCCGTCAACATTTTATCGATGTGAGCGATAATTTTTATAAACGGTCTTTGCTAATGAAAATTTTGCGAAGGAAAAACCGTGGGGCGGGTGAAGCGCTGATAGGTTTTTGAAAAGTGTCCAAAAGATGCTAGAATGAAGTATAGGACGGGACTTGCGGAAAAGAAGTGTTTTTTCACTCAGATTTGCACAATTTTTATAAAACAATGCTTACAATAATACGTCTATGTTTACACTTGGATATGGCCATTTTCTAGTCTTGTTTCTTTTGCCATCATAATGAGTATCATTTAGATGTTTGACGCATAGGAGAATTCGATAGCACATATTTGAGTAAGCTAATCAAATGGAGAGTTAGGAAAGGATAAAAGTGTCTCAGGAAGAATACCTTTTCCGGGAAAATCTAAGTAATTATCATCTTTCGCAAAAAAGATTCATTAATGACTGGAAAATCGTAAATACAACCGTATAAAAAACATTTATCGTCTTTTTAAAATATATTTCGCTTAGCTCTACGTTCTATTAACATATCTGTTATCGAAAATCAGCAGGAATTCTGCCATGCTTTATGTGGAAGCAGTAAGTGTGGTAGAGGGGTGTAGCGCTGTCACTTTATATTTATTAATTGCTGCGATTTGAAAAATGCAAAATGGACGTTTAGTGAGTAGTGGATGAGTGAAAAGCTAAGATGATATAAGAAGAGAATAAAAGTTATAATGTGAAGCACACGTTTTCGTAGCTTGAAATTTATGAAAATCAGGCTCCGAATTGAGAGTTAATAATTTCCTTCGGTTATCATTATTAACATCTGATTTGCGCGTAACAATTAGATTTATCTTTTGAAAACAAAATATAAAAAGACCAAGGGTTGAAGCAAAATGATTTAACTCATAACCTTCATCTATTAATTACTTATGTGATGGGATTTACAATCTGATAAAACAGTCGAATACATTCTGATAAAACAGTCGAATACATCAATTATTTATTATTTCGCTAGCCATTAGTAAATTAGTCTTATTATGGAACTTCGTATGACAATGCACCAGGAAATATCGGATTTTCTAAAACTAATATGTGAAAAACATGAGTTGGAAAACTTTGTGGCTGCTTAAATATTTTTAATGCCTTCGAAGAACTATCAGCAGTGCCTCTCTTTTCGTATTTTTTTCACGGCATATAAATTTAATTTAATTCTTACTGATAAATTCAAACTTCATTTCATTCCATGATGTGATATGAAAATTACTGAAAGTAACACATATTTCCGCGTTATTCAATGCATAATTTGTTCGCTTAGTTTTTATCATTCTACTTCTCTGCCTCTTGAAAATATCATTAATAATGCTAGTAATTCTGTGAAATGGAAACGCGCTTACCATCATTTCCGGCAATTATACAAACATTAAGTCTTATTTCAGTGACTATTAAGATCTCTAAGAGAAATTGTTTTTAATACTTGGACTTTCTTTTGAAAAACTGTCTCACGGTTTGTAGAGTTACAGAGTTGAAATTAACCCGTATCGTCTTAAATTAGAGCTTGTAACTGTGCAGAATGTTATTTGAAGAAGCAAATTCATATGTTTCTTGAAACTTGAATAATATTAGCTTCCATATTTTAATAGCAACTATTCAACTGACAATTACTGGCAAACATGCAATCGATTTCGTTATGCAAAGATGATTCTGAGTCGAAAATTAGTTCATGGTAATGACATCAGCTTTTAATTGAAATGTTTTAGAAAATCAGATTCCTACTCTGTAATTGTTATAGTTTCTGTTACTGGCCGCATTTGTTCAGAAAAATTTTCAATGCAAAGATTCCTGAACAAGATCGAGCTGAAGTGAGTCAAATAAAAAAAATTCTTGGTATTAATTGGAATCCACGTATCAATTGGGATGCAGATCTCACTCAAATAACTTTGAAACCTTGGACCGAACAAGAACCAACAAAAATAACGATCCTGCCATTCGTCTCTTCCCAATATGATGATCTATTGGGATTTTAAGTTCCAAAAATGGTACCATTCAAGTTATTTCTCTTATTTTAATTGAAAATCGAGAACACATGATTGCAGGACCTAAGAATTACTATAATGAAAACAATAGAATTAGGCACATTCTTAACAGCAAATTTGCGGTAGCATTTCTGATGCTTCTCCAAGACATCCGGCAATTTTGAGTGAAACATGACAATGTGTTTCAGTCCCATTCTTGGTTTTTTGCTGTTATTGTTCACATTTTCTTGTTTTCTTCTGCTTCTTTTTTCAGTTACATTTCTTAATATGTTCAGCGACGCAATAGTTCAAATAATAAATTACAACAGAGTCTATTACTTGTGACCGATTTTTTGCAGTACTTGTTTTTTCCACCGTGGACTATTTTTTAGATAAATTTAGTGTTCTTATTCGATGCCGTGAAATTTAGGTAAACATAAACTTCCTAGCGCTCGACCAGTCATTTGACTAGAACTTTTCGAGCAATTATTCACTAGCCCTGGAAAAACCTCTCAGTTTGAAAACCCTCCTTCCGCAGCCTACGTTTTCTAAGGCGGAAAATTTCCTAAGCGTTGATTTTTATTTGCGTCTACAAATTTGTTTGTTGCAAGTGTTTCAAAGCTATTTGCTACGCTCAACCAATTTCTCATTGTTTATTCTTTCATACTTCTAACCCTCCAATGAAAGCTTAATTAGATTAACTTGAGGATGTAAGAGTCATTTCCACAATCTCGTCATTAGCAGCTTCAACGGTTGGAATAAAGAAAACCATGAAAGTACTCAAATTCGTTCAGATTTCTCTTTTCGAAATGCATCACTCTTCCATTGCGCTTGCAGACGAGATCTCTTCAACGCTGACATACTTTCTCAAACCATTTGGAAAATTCTCACTATCAATATTCACCGAGGACTTTGATAATAAGATCACTGTTGGCATAGACGAGACAGAAACCCAAAACAGTTATTTCCCATCGTTTTCACAAGATCAGTGAGCTAGCAATTTCCCATGCACTCAGATTTCTGCCCGAGATGGGAAGAATTGTATTTTGGTGAACGAAGAAAATCTTATGGGAAAGGACAATGTGATAATGTTCACCATTAATTCCACAGAATGATCGATGGCCGAACTTCTTTAACCGATCGCAAATTCTTGCTTGCAATGTTAGAATAAAGATGTTGTGATTTAATCATAAATCGACCTCAGCGCTGCCAGCTATTCTCTTCAACCACTATTTTAACAACGGATAACGTAGCATTTCGACAGATTGACGTTGTTATTAGTTGAAGTTGTTGTGCAATATCTTTGGACGTACTCTAGCTCCTTCCATTTTATGTAGACAGACTTTTCGAGACACAAAATTATTTTCTTATTTATCATCACAATCATAGTTGCTAAAAAGGTATCTCCGTCCTACTCATTCAGGTACTAGTCGAATAGAGTGATGATTTATCCGTCATCGGTCATGCCTTTATCACTTTCAGTGAATTGGATAGAAAAGTTAGTTTGTGTTAAGTTCTGAGTTGCCATTTCCAAGAAATCGATAGCGCTTAAACTTGCGAAATCTTTGGCGATAATCGGAAAGTAACTGTCGGCATTTAGACTGACTATCGTACTGAGTGCGCGGACAATCCAAGTCCAAGTCAGCATCCAAGTCACGCTCGCTCAACTTTGTTTTTTTTGTTGCTTAAGAAGGAAACTCTATTTCATAGCTTGTTCTAGAAACCAAGCAAAAAATATGGTTCGTATTGCTAAAGTTCTATCGAAATTCAGTCTTATCATAATCATGCTGACAAAGTGGTCTTGTTCATCCCTTTCTCCTCCTTTTCGGAAGATAATTGAGAGCAACATTAAATAAAATGCATCAAATTACAAGAATATCCTAGTGAGATGGTAATGTAATAAACAATTTTTTAATAATAAACAATCTCTAATTTTAAGCTCTAAAAAGATCAGGTTGAAATAGCTCTAGCAAAATCGAAAATCAAAATCAAGTCCCAATAAACAACTAACGGTCTACGCAGCAAATACTAAAACACCTTCCTAAATCTGAAATATTCAAACATAATGATACTGCATGATGACGTAGGTCAGCATAAACTTTTTGAAATGAAATTTTTATGCCCATTACCCTGTATGGAGCAATACAACAAAATCCGAACATTAAAAATAAAGCATTGAAATCAAATCTTCGATTATACTGAAATCAGAGAATAAGCAGATAGTAAGAATTCAAGGTGAGTACATCTTGAATACTCACTGCCTCAAAAGTATTTATAATAACAGTGATGGTCAAGACCTGATCCAAAGAAATAACTTATTAGCAAAGAATAAATAATGATGGTTACACTTTGCTGATAACTGATCATCTTTAAAAAACGGCATGGCAACAGAGCCGTATACTGCCATAGTATGATGATATTAGAAGCTTCTGGATCAAAGTATGGTCGCAGCATATCGGATGTAGTGAATTGTAAAATCAACAAAAGAGGACAAAAAAAAATTACAGACGACGGATCAGTTGATTGGAAAATTGTTGCACCCGTAAGCATAAAAACAGTAACAAATCCTATTAAAATCAATTTCCACTTCTCTTTTTTATGGGTAGATTGGACTAGAATCATAAAATTCGAAACAAATGTGTTCAAAGCAAAATTGGAAAAAATTAAGAATTATTCTTTGTTCATTTTCCCAACATTTATACAGTAGGATGAAGCAGTAATTGAAGATATTCATAAGAATTAGGAAAAACAAGATCACAATTCAATAACATTGGGGTTTCTTACTACTGAGGCACCGATGGAAGTTTAAATTTAGGATTCTCAAATAACTTCTCGTTGAACTTCCAGATTTTTCCAGAATTAGAAGGTTTGAATTCAGTCTTCTGAATACTTTGCATGCTAAATGCTCAAACACATAAACTTTGCAAAAAAAAAAATTTCCTGAAAAAATTAGAGTATTCGAAAGTTATGCGATAAGTTGCAAGCAAGAATTGATGTTGTGGATAATGGCGAGTTAGTTGAAATATACCTGAGATGTTTTCCAACACATTTGCTTGGTTTATACCAATTGCAATAAAATAAGACAGGAGTTCTAAACTGAATAAAATGCTTTTTTCTATATTCCTTTTAAATCTGTCGTGTTATGCAAAAGAATAAGATTTAAATTTAAATAAATGGACGGAAACTTAGCCGATTTTTTTGATCAAAAACGCAACTGGCTAAGATTGCAAATTATCTATAGTGAGATATCATAGGATCAAAAAGAAGAATTCGAGTCCTGTCCCAGCCGTTGAAATCTTAAAAAGTCTCTAACATTAATACACAAGCACATCCAATTAACCATTAATACATCAGTAGGTGTCGTGATTCATTCTTTACGTACGTGTAATCGCTATTTTTTTGCACTGGTGTACTACCGTACTCATTGGATGAAGCAAGAAGTAAGTGTGAATATGGTGCTCCTTGCTTATTTGTGAAGCTGTCACGGCGGTGCAATTGATTGATAAGATCTCGTCCCGAAACGACACTGAAATTTGATAGAAATCCAATGCTTTTGAAAGAAGAAAATGTTTGAATTTTTGTACAAAACATTTAGATCAAGAAAATTTCTTCAGATTAACATTTCTAAGTTTTATTGTGAACGTCCTCATAAAAAAATCACTGAACAGTGTTATGGAAGTGATAGGGTTAGAGTACTGTTAAAGGCCGACAGCATACGTTTCTGGAGTTTCAGTAAGTTTTTAATTACAGAAACTGCTAACGGGTGTTCGCAATCCAGACCACCCGACAGTTGACCTGCGAGAACATTCAATGGCTCATATATCTGATCTATGGTTGCGTCCGATATCCAGTTCCACCTTCACTAGAAAACGTGTTGCACTGAATAACTGCATGTTTTAACAGTTTCAGTAATTAGAAATTTGTAATTACCATTAACTTAACCAATTAGATTATGGAAGATGCTTGACCGCGTCCGAAATGCAGATGTACCCTGATTGGATACAATGCACTGAACGACGGAGAACCTGTAAGTCACTTTCTTATAGGATAAAGTCTCTCTGAGATTTTCAGCCAATGATTTCCATTGTCGATGTTTAACTGTTTCAGATAAAATATTTCCTAAACTCTTGATATTTTTCTTATAACGGTAAAAAAAATTGTGGTACCCATTCATAGCAGTCTTTTGTTGAATTTTTTTTCCCACTAGTGGTGGCATAACTGATGGAGACGGTGGATAAAAAAATCCAGGAGATGTTGGTTGTTGCAATCCAGCGGTATCTGTTGCAGTACAACATGGTGTTCGTTCAATGGGTAATTCTGTAGTTGTAGTAGGGCAGGCTTTATCCGAGGTTTTCATACATTTGCAGCATATGCATGCACATATGCATAGACATGCGGATAAACTTACAGCAGCCATACTGATAAGTAAGAGCGTCAAACCGGTTAATGAACCCAATGGATCATTAGTCAAAACTAAAACAATTTCAAATTTTGCCACAAATTTCTTAACTCTTATAAAAATTTTAACAAGGCATCTCTTAAAATAGAAGTTGTGTCTATGGATCTTTTTAAACCTCCTGTTTGTAAATATTACAGTAGAATTAACATAAAATTTTCATTTCCGATGCAAATTTTCTTTTAATTAAACCATTGCTATTTTTATCCATTTAGAATTCAAAGATAAAAATGAAAAACAAACAATCGCATTTGTGAGCAATTTGCAGTTCGCGTATTAAGTCGGATTCGTCTTTGCAGTCTGGATATCGATTGCACGCAAGTTCTGCAGCAATACATTCTTGATTCTTGCATGTGAATTCCCTCTGGGCATTACACGGTGCTGAAATGATTATTAACAAAAACTGACCGTACATTTACGTTTCTTTGCGCACAGCTAAGCAACCAATCCTGTTTTTCTCACTAAGATTTCTAATATTACATTTCATTTTAATATTACACTTAAATATAAACAATTAGGATAAAGTTGAAATGAAATGAATAACATTGAAAAGAATATTTTTTTCAAATTTTTAAGAGATAGATGTTCGAAACAATTGCTCCCATTGTAACAACTGCTACTAAATTAAGACGGCAATAATAGTTAAATAATAGCAGGAAAAATGAAGTATTACAAATTCGCATAGATTTAACAAAAGACTCCGGAAAAGAACTTACCAATATTTGATTTCCGAAATGCGGACCACAGTAATCGAAATCCTTCACCATTATGACGAAATGGTAATTCGGCATCCGTATGCCACCAAAGCGTTAATGCATTCTCTGTTGAAACGGCCAATTCACTAGCATTTCGAATGGTGCCGCAAAACTGACCAAGTATGGGTCCGGGCGAAGTGTCTTCTTGGGTCGCATCTCGTAAAGTTTGCGGATCAATTGGTTTTTCATGCTAAAGTTTTTTTAAGCTTAAAAATCGCAAGCTAATTCTGTAAATCATTCTACGATTGAAAATATGAATAGATAAAAAAGAAGTGATCGTCAATTGTAAGCAATTTGAACTCCATAATTTTAAGTTTTAAACAACTGAAATATTAATCTCAAAACTTTTAGAAAATGAAATGCAAAAATCTCCATTAAAAAAAGGCTTTAGAGCTAGGAAAATTGCTGCTGATATAAAATAGACATCAAAAACATGGAGTGTATCCTTATCACAGTTATGAGCATCACCGAGCACATTGAAATCAAGCACACGTAAGCGTATACGATAACCAGATGGTGCCGTTATCAACAGAAAGCAATTCTTGGATGCATTATACGGAATGCTTCCATATAGTTGATGTGATATCAGTAAACCAGACAGAGCAGTTACACGTCGCTCTAGTTTAGACTTACAGTTATCTAAGTAGCTTGCACCATCGAAATAACCTAAAATATGTAAGTTATATAAAACCACTATCAAAACAGAAATTTTTGTTGATATAAAAAGAATGCAAAGAATTTTTAGAAACATCGTCGGACAGTTTATCTTCGGATAACCACAAACAGTTTCAGTTTGCATATTAATAAATAATGTATATTATATTGAAGACGTACTTATTTGTGGTTCGTATGATAGCACAGCTTGGCCCGGAATAATTAAAATATAGTAGGAAATAAGCAAAAGGAATGTTGTACGGACCATACAAATAATAGTCATTATTCGGGATAATGTCGATGATATTGATGATACCGCAGTGATAACAGTGTTAATGATGATGATAATGAGGATAGAACTGATATTGTTTCAGAAGTCCCAGTTGGTGAACATCAATTTATAATTGACGAATATGATGATAATCGTCCTGAGCGCGGAATTCCTGCGATAAATGAAGCATATGACCAATTCTATTCAGAAGTATCCGGTCCTGAAACTTCTGTAATTAAACTTTTTACAACGTGAACGCTAATAGGACATTTCGAGTATATGTGATTTGGTTTCACAATAATTCAAGATTAGGAATGCTGAATCCAAACGAAACGATATTCCAAATTATGAACAAAACACATCCTAAGATGACGGTTGATAACGGAGGGAATAGCTAAAGGAACGGTTGCTAAAATAAGAGAGGAAATAACTTCAACGAAACAACATTCGTATTGATATTAGGAGAAAAATATAAATACGGAATGTAAATATAATAGTACAAAAAAATAGTTATTCATGATAACTAGATATGATAATTAGTTAGGATTACTTATCTCTTAGTGGTTTTCAGAAGCTCATTTTCCTTTCCTCATATTATCAAGCTTCCCTTAAATAATTTAGACATTACTATCTAATATTTTTGAAATTTTGGGAACAACAAGTTGATCAAAAGTTGATGTCAATGATAATGAATAGAAATAGGTCCATAAAACTTTCAAATTTTGGCATAACTATTATCACTCTGGTTACTAGCAATTGTGTTGTTGCTACAGTTACTGTTATTGACATTAATTTGCCACAACCGTAGTTGCGACAAAAGTGAAATTTCAAAACTGGAAAAACTATAAATATTTTTAAAATAATGATTTCTATCGTAGTATTAGACAACTTAATAGAGTCTAACTTTGCCCCATCTAGCTTTTCTTCACAACACTATAAATCTTTTCTGTGCCATGAGAGATAAATTCCTCATATTTTAGATGTAAAGAACGTACATTTCATGATCACCAGTGATAAAAGTGACGAATAACAGGACATAAATCAATGTATATACATAGTATGTTTGGTTGATGTACAATTTGATGCTTGTCGAAAGCAGAAGAATGCCAAATTCGCCTACATGACAAGCATACTTTCCGCTCCTAGAAGATCCAGAGCATTTACATAACATGAAAATAATCGTTTCAACTTTTTCATTTAACTTCTCCATAATTAATACCTTTCTGAGGTCGCCAATCAAATATGTAATTCCATAACATACTTTAATGTTTTCACAAAAAACGTTTAGAAAGTTGTTGCTAGTACGAGTGAACTTTGTTACCTTTATGATAACCAGTAAAGATTAGTGGTAGAGATTTCAAGTTTGATTTAGTATTTAGATTAATAAAGCTAGATTAATTAAGGGGAATACATGCGTTATTACAAATAAAGGACTATCAATGTTTACATACCAAGTGCAGAACAATTAGGTAATAAATAAGCAATTTTGTTATAACGTACTTTTTTTCACGTGTAAGACGCGGAACAAATAAATAAATAAATAAATAAATGGATTAGTAAGCAAACGAATACACTTATGCGTTTTTAACAAAACTATTGATGGCAAATGACAGTGATTATGACGGTAATCGAGATATGGAAAGATGAATAAGGAAGACCACCGCCCCATCGTCTCCAATTCCTATAATATTTTAGGTTTACAATTCTGGCATTCGTGATATCAGTTTTGCCATCCATTTGTCTTTCAGAAGGAAGAGTATCGTTGTTTTCATTTCATTTTCAGTCCCCTCTATTGTTGGCCAGTTTCTTCCTGTTTATCAATGAGAAAAATACCGCACTGTCTTCTGGATCCGGAATGAGTGTGAGTTTCAAAATTCCGGCTCAAAACGAAAGTGAAAACTATATTTTTTGTCGTGATTTGGTAAAAAAGAAAAAGTAGTGAAGAATTATATATTTCTAAAATTAAGAATTGTTGAAAAATATATATTGGAGGATGTGAAATAGTTATCCAGAAGTAAAAGAGATATAGGGAGAGGGGAGAAGGAAGAAAGAAGAGAAAATTTGGAAATTTTGAGCTTCTTAAGGCTCTTCGTTGGTGAACCATTGGGGGAACATATGCATCATCCGTGGTGGCAATCCCAACGTCAGCTCAATCTATCATTTCTAGGCACCACTGTGTACATATTGGGCTTCGATCAACTCATCCACTTTTCTTTTCTTTCCATCCTATCACTCTTTTCTCGTTTCCACTCTATTTCCAATTTCTATTATTTTCAACTTGAAATACCAACAAAGAGACTCGTCGATTAGTTAACAGTTTAGAAGATTTACTGTTTTCTATTCCAATTTGAATGATTTATTGATATCCATATTTCGTATACCATTCTTTCCACTCAAAAACTCTGTGTCTATTTATCTTGCCTTCATTGAAAATTTTTTCTCATAAATTAATAACCCGCTATTGGATGAGTTTGTCAATCAAAATTTCCGAAATCTTTTATTAAAATTCTAAAATTTATGGTTCTTCCATTGCTTTAGCTCAGTTTATATAATTGGTTTTTGTGATTAAAAGATAAAAACTTTCTCCGTGCCCTAAAATTGATCGGTCCGGAATCGAATCGGAGTTTCAAAATTCATTTATGGTTTTAAGGTCTAGTACGATACATTGTCATAAAAATGTTGATGTATGATCATAATAAATTCTATGGACAAATGCAAGAGACTATTGTATCGATGCGATGACCTGTGTAAATAATTTGTCAGCAACTGTGCGCTCACATCAAAGACATAGATGATATATTTCTCCCAAATGTGCATTTATCCGGCAATATCGACATTACTGAAAATGCAAATGAAGACGATCAGAAAAGAGGAGATGAAAGATCAATAAGTGAAACAATGATTGAAACGGAATAGACGAAAATAAATGAGTTAATTAAATGGCATCAAATATGAAAAGTATCTCAACGCTACAACTTAAGAATCATTAATATTTAAATTCCCTATTACGTTCAACTTATTATCAATCTTTTGGTAAAGTGCAATATATCATTCTTTTACAATCGGATATCCTTCAACATTATGGAAAATACGCACCAATTAAGCGTATCGCATTCCTCGTAATCTATGCATAGATAATAATATAATGATAATTCAGAGATGATACATATTCATTAGTGGAATCTTGAAGACTTCTATGATTCACACTAATCAATATGGAAATTACGATTAACCTTTGACTTGCTGATCAATTATGATTGGAAATTTTTGGGAAAATCAGAAGAAAGTAGAATTGAAGAAGGGGAAAACAAACTGATTGCATCTATTGCGAACGCCATTCAAAAATTGAATATTACAGAGCAGTTGAGACGAGCTTTTCTGGAAGATGCCTGAAGCACGGGAAGCAAAACTATACAGTGGACGATCGTAGCAGGCAGCTTGGGTTAGGAAAAAAGATAAATGGCTATGCAAGAGGTGGGTACGTTATCAGGATGAGGCGCTGCACAGGCACTATACGAACCTACTATCAGTGCAATTAATAATCGAAACATGTGTTGTGTGTGTGTGTGTGTGTGTGTCTATGTCTGTGTATCAGTGTGCATGTTCGTGCATGTGTGTGTATGAGTGTTTATGCATGTGTCTGTACGTATGTATGCAAATATGTTGTGCATGTATGTGTATGTGTGTGTTAATTTATGGCTGTCAAATAGAAGTGTCAAGCGGAGGCATTCAGGATTGTTTCACTATCCGGGAATTAAAGAATGGCTAAACGATGGTTGTGTAACGATGGTTCTGTGCTAAGGATTGATAAGAAGTAGTATGCTGATGTTAAAGGTGAAGAGGTCAAGGATTGGAAAGAAGTAACAAAGTAACAAGATGAATAATGGTAACAAGCGGAAAATAACTGGACTGGGCATGATGACGAAGAGTTCGTCGTAGTACGGGGAAAGTTCAACTATTATTACTGAACCACCGTCATTAGTCAGCAGCGATTTTTCTGTAAAACATGATAAGCTGATATGCAGTGTGGCTTGTCACACTATAAAGTTTAGCGTGTTCCATTTAAATAAACAGACCACTATCAATTATTTCAATTTCTCACAAAGAATTTTGAAATTAAAAAGTCTACATTTCACTTGATCATTCTTACAAAATAACTATAAATTTGTGAATGATAAGTAATTTACTTTTATATTCCATATTCGACAGGATGACTAGCTTTCTTCAGAACTGTACAAAGATTAGATCGAAATGTTTTTGATTGCTTGAAAATGAAGCAGTGGTATGAGATATCTGAAAGAAGTGGTAAACTTGCAGTGCATTTTAAATTGATTAGCACAGCATACCAAAACTAAAATAAGCTATAGCGTATATTATCACGGGTGAAAATCGTAGTGGAGTCCTATCACACTGTAAAAATCAACAATAATTAAAATACACTATTTAGATATATTTTCAAGAGATTTCAGTATATTGAATTTATTCTCACAAAAAATTCTGAAATTAATAAGTCTACATTTCGCTTGATTATTCTTATAAACTATTGTTGCATGTTGATCAAAATAAAGCGGTCAAACTGCTAACCGTTGACTAATAGCTATCTTAGATAAAATGGCTTGATGATATTTGAAATTATAAGTTCAGGTCTTTTGCAACAGATTTACAAAATCACAATCGGTGCATGGTTGTATTAAAGAGAATAGCATATCATGTGTTGAGTGACCAATAATGTCATGTCCTATCTAATTCTAAAGATTCAAAAAATGTATACCTCAAGTTCCACTTAAAACTTAGACCCCTAAGAAAAAGTTGAGCAATGAATTAACTTCTAAAATAGCCTCGTCAAAACATTTATTTATTCTGCTATTGTTTGCCACTATTCGTAAGAAATATTCTTGTCGCGTAAAAGATATTCCTTACGAATAACGGCAGCAATAACAGAATTTATTCTAAAATTTTGTTGATAAAAAACTGAATAAGAAAGAGGAGAATACTAAGTGATGAAATGAAGCTTAGGTTTAATGTGATAAATGATTTGGTGGGACACATACATGTGTATGTGTGTGCTTATATGCCTACGTTAATCGCCTCCACTTTCAAATACCTATGGTATCTTTTTCATCAGCTTGTCCATCTTCTTACTCAATTTATTATTTACTCATTCAACGTATTATATTCATCAAAATATGGGAAATTAAGTTGAATGAAGAAAAATAACAAAATAATAATGTTGAATAGATGGATATAAATTGATCCTCAATTACTAAATTAGTGAATTTCTATCTAACTGATTGATTTTAAATATTAATTATGTGTGTTCGATTGTATAGGAACTGTATGTCATACATCTTGTAATTTTAAATATATTATTATTCAATATTTACGCTGCGATGACACATCTTTCAATGTTTACTTCCTCTTCTTTTTACCATCACTTTTCCGCTTATATTTGCATCGAAGATATGTCGATTTTTAATTAAATCAATTTTTGTTTGAATGTTGTATAATGAAAAAAGTGACTGATACAAAGTTGTTGACATATAAAGAAATATTGGGACAAAAGTTTCCAATATTGTGATGACCAATTAACTAAAATGTTTAATTAGAACGGAACTTTGTTTTTAAATGTACAAGCCAATTCTTATGCATAAAATTTTTTTTCACCGAAACTCTCCAACATGAGATGTCAGCTTTAAGTGGTAATGGATGTTCTACAATATGCCAATCTAGCAAAGCATTATTAACTTAAGAAAACAATTAAATAAAAAATTAAAATTTGTTGGGAGGAATTACAGTATAATTATAAGAGCTTAAAAATGATACAAATGATAAGCGAGATAAAAGCAACAATTCAAAAATTTCTTCCAGTCGAATTTTTCGGTAATAATGCAGTCAAAGACGTAAAAAAGAAGTGACCTGAATTGATCGGGATTAAGGAAAGTTTAAAAGGCTTGTGGTCATATATTGTCAAGTTCTAAAGTAATGGAATCTTAATTAATAAATTATTTGCTACGGAAAATTTTGTGTACTGGAATAAATTCCTTCTCATAAATAACAAATGGTGCAGTCATTTAAATGCTGCAATTATAGTCATATGCTATTGGCAAGCATAATAATAATTGAAAGTGAGGTGTTACAGGTATATTGAGATACAATAATGTTAATCAGTAGATGGTCAAGTTTTTCTGCTAAAGAAATAAAATTATATATCTTTTTTGGCTACTATAGTGAGGAAAACGAGATCATCTGGTCATTCATTAATTCACTGATATCATGTTGTTGATATTATCAAGCACAACTCTTAGTATTCCCGCTTCTGATTATATCACCAAAGATAACATATTAATCTTATATCCAATTTTGTCGTGATATTCCATACCTTTGCCTATTTTTTGCAATAATTAATAAATGAAAATTTAGTTATTCAAAATAGAGAATACTTCGAATCAAACTGTTTCAACAAGTTTAGGTTGTGTCAAAACATATTTGCATTGATAAAATCGATGCAAAAATGCTTGCTTCTTTTAGAGGTTTGTGGGTAACAACGGAAAGCTTTCATTTTATATCATAATTACTTCCTGAGCATATTAATATTAAATATTGCTTAATCACTGAAAATCACGCGATTTGTAATCATAAATGGGATATTCGGATACTCCTTAATTTCTCTCAAATCCTGATTTAAGCAGGAGAATCCAAGGAAGCAAACTAAAACACTCGGCAATTCGGCAACCGCAGAAGCGCGATAGGCAATCTTAGCAGAATAAATATCATTTTTTTTTGTAGCTATATGATTTTAAAGCTGAGGAATTGCAGAAGGCGCAATTTAATGAAATGAGATAGCAGCAGGCATAGAATTTCGGCATTTTGGATGCATAAAAGCGTGAGAACTTTCGGTATTTTTTTTGGCAATTTGCTTTTCAAAGAGCAAACTGAATTTCAGAAATAAAGTCGTGCATGCTGCAGAAAATGCTTTGTTTGATCGAGAACTGATATACAAATCATGCATTCTGAGAAACCTCGTTGCTCTTCCACGCCATACTTCCTGCTTATTTTTTGCCTTGTGCAAAGACACAATAAGTCGATTTACATAAAGTTCGTAGTATCTTCTGGAATTTCATGAATCCTCCGAGAGGTATTTGGGATGACAGATTTTTTGTTTTATTTTTCATGCACCATGTTCTTATGGCCGGGTGGATATAATATAGGTTTTAGCAGAACTACTGCACAGATAATTTCGCATTCGTCAGATCCAGTATTATTTGCCTCATAGAAATACAGCAGATATGTATACAAATATTTTATTCTTTGGGATATTTCGTACTAGTTCTTCATTATTATAAGATTTCCAAATTTTTAAGAAGTATGAATAAATAATTTATGAAGGAAAAGAGCAACTGTATTTGTTGGTTGAAAAAGAAAAAAAAAACAAAGATCGAGAAGATGTATTCCACTTCCAAGTATCAATCACTTCAGGCATACACATGTTTTATGCTGTGAAATTATTTAGGTGCTTTTTATTGTCCTTTAAAATTCTACTTCGTATCAGGCAAGTCAAATGTATTTGAAAATTTTGTTAAAACAGTTATATTTGATTTTTTAGCTGATAAAATGAGAAATACGCTTTCTTACTCATTCTTGCGACTTACTTAAAATTAGAAGATATTTTCATTAAAACCAAGCTGTTTTGCAATTAAATCAACAGTAATTGAATCAATTTAAATGGAATATCAATTGAAGAATGGAGGAGCAGTGGCTTTTAAAATTGAGGAAGCAGAGAGGATTAATTCGTCTTTATTTCTCGAATAATTTAAAGAATTATAATTTCATTAAAAAGTAATACATACCATTATATTAGTACCGGGATGAAGTAAAAAAAAACTTGTCAAAAAACAATTCAAGGCCACTTTTCATAAAGCTTACACAGAATCATATCTCAACGAACAAACTTCGCGATTATCAAGAGATGATTGCACAATTTGTGACCATGAAATCTGGTCGCTGTATTACTTGTAAATTCTTGACAGAAAAAGTGAAACATACAGTTGATGCAGTCGTAAAGTAGTCGCAGTAGAGCAGTTGCAGTTATGAAAAATTGATGGGTTCGAAACTTTCAAATGAATTAATTAATGGGTATGGAAAAGTTTTCTCGAATGGGAAAGAATCAGCTTCAGGCATCAATCATGATCTTCCAGTGCCATTATCAAGGTGAAGGGAAGTGTTTTTTCTCATGTATTGCACTCTCCTCTCTGCTGCCCTTTCCCTTCTTATACTGCACAGGAAATTTAAGGACCGAACATTTCAGTCTGTATGAATTAAAACCTTCTGATATTGGGATCAAACTGTATCGCGCTATGTAAATATTTTCCAGCCGTAAAAAAGCTTGTTTTCAGGGAAATGCTAAATGAACTATTAAATTTGATGGTAGGAGTTAAGATACAATGAAATATAGTGATAAGTTGTCCAAACAGAGTTACTTTGCTTAAAAACTCGATTCACCTTGATTAACTGTCATTTCATTTAAAAACTAGATTTAATTCCCCAGCACGATAATTAAATGAGACACATAACTTACGTGCTTTACTCATTTGGGTTAAGAATGTGAGAACATTTATGCAATTCCGCATCATGTAAATCACCTTTTACTAAACATCATTTAATTATTCTAATAATTCCTAATAATTCCCAACAGTTTTCTTCCCAGAGCAAAACGTTTAGAGATATGGTAAATTGAAAGTAAGGATACAGTCCACTATAATAGGAAGAAATCAGGCTTGACCAGTATGTTCTAGCCATTTAACAAAAGCCTACTGTTAATAAAAAAATATCCTGAGCTAAAATCTGTGCCTTATTTTTAATTGGATAGTACTCGCATATAAATGCAGTTTACAGAAAAAGAAATAACAAATTGAAGTACGAAGCAATGTTGCTGCTAATGTTTTTTTGATATCCTGTGACTGGATACTGGTCTACTTACGTATATACAAAAACAGTGGCAACAGTCAAATAAGGGTAAATGAATTTCTCAATGTTTGCTAAGGAGTTGAATATATATCAATCTCAGGTGAAAATGGATTGATCACGTGCATATGCAATGTATCAAATACTCCTAAAATGTAAAGCTTCTAGTTACCCCTATTTTTTTCAAGTATTGGATCAGATGAATTCAAATGTAATTTCAGCAGCGGTTCGTTAAAAAGTAACAAGCTACCCTGTGAATAGACAGGAATAATTTCCACAACTTCATAATGACAATGCACAAAGTGTCACTTTAAATAACAAAGACAATTCTTAATTACAAAATGAAAGTGATTTAAAAGAAAAAGGAAGAAACTCATCAAGACACAAGAAGTGAGAGGGCAGAGTTCCAAAAATAATTAATCCGCATTAGCGAAATTTTTTAAAATTAACACTGGCACTTCAATAAACATGTAATTTACAAATAGAAAAAAAGTTATTTGAAAATGTATGCAAGCAAGGAAAGCCAAGGTGGCAATATATTATGTACACAGACACATAGCTGTATCACAATATAGCTATCTCATCCACACATACACATACACACCACATACACACACACACACAAACACACACAAAAAAAGCCTATTAATAGTGAATAAATAACGAATGAAAAGACAAATAAATCTATGAGAATCGGCAAATTCAAGAGGCTAACATTTACTGCTTTGTATTATCACATGCGAAATTATACATCATATATAAGGCAAGAACAGAAGAAAAAAACAATGAAACAAAGATAAATTTCCAGGAATGATAATTTTGCGCATAAAAATTTGCGCGAGAGGTTTTAAAGTTTTTTTTTAAAAAGGAGCATACAATAAAAACCCATGGATTTCCATGTCACTATAGGAAATTTAATGACACTTTATTTTTCTTTTTTTTCATGTTCCCATAAAATAGTAGTTTCAGCATAACAATTTGCCAAAAACAATCAGTGATCAATCTAATTTTGATTAAAACTTGATAAACTTTTTGTTTGATTTCACGAGTTATGTCACAAAGCGCTGCTCTACGAATAGTAAAGTCTTTGGTTGCTTAATTTTATAAATAACAAAGAATTTAAAACTGTACGAAAAACATTAGCAACTATGATCGGAACTGATAACATGTGTTGTGAACATATACTTATCGCCACAACCATGACCACATAAGTTACACTTCCATGGGTCAGAATCGGAATGCAATCCTTTATGCAAAAGATACAATGTTTGATCCATAAAAATCATCCCACAATGCATACATTCCTGAAAATGATTGAAATTTATATAAAGGAAATATGAAATATGCTGGAAGAAATATTGGGATGACACTAAAAGTAATATAATTCCAAAAAAATAACCTGTTGCTCCTTGTCTCCGCTTTCACCATCGGTAGCACTACTACTTCCACTATCAACTGAAGGAGAATGAGATTGATCTTCCGTATTTTCACTGCCAGCATTACTCGTTCGAGTCCATAATTGTTGCAGCGCGGTTTCCGGTTTTATGTCCTGAAACATAAGTCTGACTGATATCTAGATATTGGTATCAAAATAATAAACAAAACAGTTATCATTATCATTTATTTTCAATACTTAAAAAAATGTATATTACCGTAATAAGCGCTGGAGTGTTGAGATTTGACAGAGACAATAACCATTCTTCATTTGTCATACCATATCCAGTCTGCAATATGATACAATGGACAGAAACTCTCAGAGCGAAATAGTCTAATGGTATGAAAAACAGAAAGAATTTGGATCTTGAAAAAGCCCTTAGGGCTTTTTTCTTTTTTAGAAATGTTTGTACCTGTTCGTAATCCATACATCGAGACATATCTTCATTAATGGACGGTTTCATGGACTCCTGTTTAATAAATTTCAATTGTTCCTGAATTGCGGCAACGATAGTTTGCGCATTTGTCCGCCGTTGTTTCTTAGATATTGGTGACGTAAGCGTATACATATCCTTTGCACTATTCTCAGATTTAGGTTTCACTGGAGACGTTACAACAATATTCGATGTCTGAAATGCAAATGATTGTTTGTGAACGAACTGATCAACATACTGATAAATGCTTTTCCTCGCTCCGAATTCCAACCTCCTCGTTCAAAAAATTTTAAATGCATTGATTCTTTGTGTTGTTCAGCGTTCAATATACAATGCTTCAAAAAAATTAATTTGCTTAGTTTTTCCTAATGAAAATCCAGAAACTTCTTCTTATTCTAAATTCTGCTATATTGTTGAAAACTATCACCCATTATTACTGAACATTTAAGCTCCACTTATCGGTCGAACTGGATCATAAAAATTATCCGAAAATATATGTTCTAGCATTTTTGAATTTACCAATACACAAATTTTGCTATATTTCCCATCAAATCTACTATTTTTCTCCTAAAAATTAGTTAAAATTTAAATTTTTTAAAGCTTTAAAATTAGAACACTAAGAAGACTATTTCTTTTCATTCTGAAAACATTTGAGATGTGGATTTTTTATTTCTGAAGTTCTGGACTTACATCGCCCTCATCATGTTTTGTTTGATAGTGTAACAGAAGTCGCCGTGAGTTCGCAAACAATAGTGAGCATCGTTTACATGATGCAGGGGTTGATGGTGCGATAGCATGCGCTTCATCTAGATGTGTTCGTAAGCTTGCGTGTTGACTGAATTGCTTATCACAGAGGGCAACTGGACAATCAAAATCAGCTCCGGTTTTTATATGGGTCATCGAGTGTTCTTGCATCTAAATCATACAATAGATTATTTGAAAGATATATATCTTTCAAAAAAAAGACATATATGTATATATAAATTCTTGAGCAAAATGATGGAAATTTAAAGAAAGTTTTTATATAACTAAAAAAATCATTCAACACTTTTTAACTGAAAGCTTCAGTGACATAAAATATTTCCGTTATCTAATGGCACCTTTTTTTTTATTCACACGTATATGTCACGTTTCAACGGTGTTTTTACTAATTCAATATGCGTACCTGATCTTTCCGAAAAAATTTTTTTAGGCAGTACCGACACTGATATGGTTTAACGCCTGTATGCCGCATCCGATGACGATGCATGTTAGCCTTCTGGCTGAACTGCATATGGCAAATATCACACTGATACATTTGTCCTTGATGGCGTTCATGTGCATCCTATAAAACATCAAAACCATAAACAACTGAAAAATATTGAGGGCATTCTAAAAACTCTGAAATGATTAAAAACAAAAACAGCAACATCAGAAGCGATAATCATGAAATTAAATAGACACTTCATCGCACTTATGGAACATATTCGAAATTTCCTGGCAAGTCTACCATATGTGCTGTCACATAAGGTCAAATGACACAAATTGAAATTTAACCAACAGGTGAGTTACATGTAACACCTTAATGCCGTACCTAAACGGTAATACTTTGTGATACTTTTACTGCATGATTACAAAAGTTTGATAGTTGAAAGCAGTTCTAGTAAATTTATATTTTATGTGTAATTTGAAAAAAATATTTCTTGAAATACAATGAATTTGAATTGAAAATTTTATGATAAAAATTGAAATGATAGAAATTAAATTAGTACTATGATGAATACGACAAGGATGAAGTTCATATCATAAATTTATCAGATATAAATTTAATTAATTCTTCCCTTGTTTCACCGGATTCTAGTCATTATGCGAAACTTTCTACATTGACTGCAAGAAAAAACGGCTCGCAGCCAACTTTCAGTAGTCCAGAAATTCAGAAACATCTGTTAGACAAGAAATACACCAAAATTACCAGGCAAACAAAGACATGGAGATTTTGAATCTAAAAACTAAAAAAAAGGAACTCGTTTAAATGAATGTACAGAAAAGAGGATATGATGTCAGAAGGATAGTATGAGAAACTTGTCGACAGAAGCTCATCCTCCAAGAATGTGGAACATTTTTAAAGATCAAAAAAAAGTCTTCCGTTGGAAATAAAGTAATGAAAGCTAACCAAATGACTCTTCATGTGTTGCGACATGCAGGTTTCAAAATTGCAGTGAGGACAAACGTGCATGGTTTTGCTACTGCTACTATTGGTGGTTGTGGTTGCTGTTTTGAAGGTATTATTATTACCGGAGGCTGGTGGTGAAGAGGCGGCCGTCGGAGAGAACTGCTCGGGGGATGACAGGTTCGGCGTCGAAGACAACTCGTCCAAATCCTCGTTCCATTCCTGAAAATCGTATCACCTTTCATCCCACAATACATGCACCAAACTAACTGGTTGTTCAATCCTCGTAACCACCGCACAACTACACAAAATCGAGATCTAACAAAGAGCTCACATGCAAAGCGCTCCCCCTCCATCTACTTCCCTAATCCACTCTTCACCTTGATCCGAAATATTCATCCCTAGAAGTATATCATATTCCTTTGATTTTTAAAATCAAAAATTCTACAGAAGTATCCCTATTTCTCAATTTAAAATACATTTTAATCCTAAATAATTTAAAACAACTTCTGCATAAACCAAGTGACTAATATATTAAATATATCTATAAGAAATTATTCACCAAATATAGAGAAGCACAGCCATAAATAATACTTCTCAATGGTAACTCGCCAGTTAATTGTAATGAAAAAAAAGCTTATAGAAATGATCAGCTTTTCTTTCACAGTTTTTCATTAACATTTCTTATGTCTTGAAATATTGTATCAAAACTCCTAAGCATATTTAGAGAACGGAAAAAAAAAACAATTCACCAAATTAGAAACACTGCCGATCTTCTACGTAACATACCTAATAATTCGTGAGTTTCCATAATAGAGTTGCTGGAGAATAAGATATGCATGTTTAATCCTGTACAACTTGGGAAATATGTCTCTCTTGGCGAGGCGTTAAAATGTTCAAGAATTTGAATTTAAGATCCCTCTTATTTCATTTTACCCAGTTTTATCCTTACCACAATTACGTAGCAAACATGAAGACGTCTCAAAACGGATAGATGAAGAAAAGCATTTCAACAAGAAAGAATCATCACACATTCTTATTAAAACAAAAAAAGCAATGTATTATATATTATAACAAAAGAGAAACCTGCCGACTACTAGTATTCGTCGTAGTATGGTGTCGTTCACTTTCATGCTGTTCAATGTGCTCCTTGAAATCAGTAAAATTATTTGTCATAAAGCCGCACTGAGTGCACGCGTTCATGTCCTCCATCGTCATCTGCAAATCAAATCATTTATTTTCTTATGGAAGCTCACTGAATCACTGATAGCCTGATTGGTAGAAATGGACGAAACGATTTGACATCTGGCATTAAGAGCTTCATTTCGCAGTATCCGTGTGTTGTCTATCTTGTTCACTGCTCTCTTTAGTTAGCATTTCTTGCGGCATTATCTTCCATTTATTTCATTAATATGGGTCACATTTCTTACTGCACAACCAACTTGTTTACAACTACTTTCGGATCAAAATTAATTTCGATACGATAGGATCATTCAGGACGTTGAGTTACTATCAGGAGATCGAACAGTCTTGATAACTTTGATCACCAAGGGTCATCATTACTTCTCCTTTATTACGGCAATGTAGCAACCGTCATACAACGATAATAAAATATGAAATTTGTTTTTCAAGTACGAGGCGTGGAACATTACCATAACGAGCCAATCAATCAAACATAGATATAATCATGCATCAACTGCGATCGGAAAGTTGGATGTGAACAAGAGATGCACAAGAACGAAAAAATAGGGAAGCTTTGTTAATTAAGACGGACCTGGTGAGATACGTCCATCACTATCTTTATTTATACATCCATCCCAACAACAATTATGTCTCACTTTAAAAGCATATAATTATTAATTATACCATCTTACCAACGTCCTGCTCAGCAAATGAGGCTGACGCTTGGATTTCAATCGCTCTCTGGAATGAATCAACGAGCTGCGCATAAACTGGTCTTGCAACATTAATACTACATTTGCAAAATGCGCATCTCGTCAAATATCAACGTACACAAATGGGCAAGAGAGGAAAGGTACCAATAAAATTGAGAACTAATTCATTCAAAATATAGTCGTAGCATGTACCAAGTATTGATCGAACAAGCAAAAAAAATGTTTTACTTGTTTCATTCCAATTGCAATTCACTCAACTTCACAAGTCTTAATAGACAACGCTTCTAGCATCTTATATAGTAAATAGGGTTGGTGATAGGATTCGACATTAGTCACAAAAGTGTATTTACTTTGCACAACATTCACTAAATCCAAATATGAAACTTCCCTTTAAAACAAAAGCATTGTCTAAATGTAAACAGAAATGAAGATGGAGCTGTCAATAACTCAACCAACGAGATTATTAGCTGGGTAAATGAGGTTGTGAAGGGAAGACACCAGCCATGTAAATAAGTTCCATGAAATTGTTTCGCATATTCGACTGTAAACGAAAAAAGGGTCTTTTGCCTCTTTAATGAGTATTGCTCAAAGATGTGATTAATTAAAGTATAAGCAGCTGAAGTTGAAATACTTTCAATAAAAGATGTACAGCTAAGTAAGATATGCATCAGCCGAATTTGCATAATAATGCTTATCATTTTGAATTCAGAAAAATACCGATTGGAAAAATGTGAACTTCAAACATAACCTAAATTTAAAGTGAATAATGCTAGAAGAAACATGGCTGCACTCGAAGACAAAAACTCTTCAGCAAAGATCTACACCAGAATGATTCCGAAATTTCTTGAACTATTCGACTATTATTATTTCCCATGCGTATTTGTTTCCAGTTAGAGTCTTAATTAATCTATTTACTATGAAGTCTACTTGAATCAAAAAATTTCTTTCATACACATAGCTAAAGACCGATTTCATATGCTGACATACTGGATGCTCTTTCAGTTTTGTTCCCAATCGGAAGCATTCTGGAAAGAGGTCGTAGGCTTTAAACAATTAATTAAAATTTTCACTATTTGTTTGGGGAATTTGACTCAACTATTTCTAAAATCAAAAGAAGTTTGTCACGATACCATTTCAAAATCCGGTATGTAAAGCTAGAATGATATAGAAATTAGAAATGAAAAAAGAATGCGATGCGGATCTAGAAATTTTTCAAAATTTTATTAAATTCAAATTAAATTAAATTCAATCTCAAATAAATATAATGATATTAATATCTCCGTTATCAAATCAGTGTAACAGAGTAATAGTGCTCTGAAATTCAGTTCGTAATAGAGTTCAATGCGGGAAGATAGAAAAGACTGAAACAGGATTGGAAAAGAAATGGAGATGCTAGCGAATGTTGGAAAACTGTTCAGAAGGCCAATCGAGAAATATGACCTTGATTCCCGTATTCGTGGCTGCAAGTCTTTACTTGGTGCAACACTCTCTCCATTCTCTCTTCTATGAACAGGTATGCTGACATCTTATTTGCATTTCTCTTGGTCCACTTATTATATCGCCCCAAACTCCTATCCCTAATTCCATCCGAAAAGGCAAGTCCTGATCGAGATTGAAATAGACCAAAAAGCAGGAAGTAAATTTTCCGGTTCAAATGAATAAAGGATAGCAGGATGAGTCAACTGTCCGACAAAAGAATTACGTCGTAGAATAACGGAGTTATAGTGGACGTGACGGATAACGCACAAGTAAGCAAGCAGACAACCGACTGCAGTAGTAAAAGTACTTCATTTCCTTACTCTCCAAGATTTCCTTGCTATCTACCTCGACTCCTACAACACTATCATCCGAAAAGAACAGTTCCTCACGACCCAAACCAATGTCACTCAACAAGTAAACAATCGCAACAACCATCTTGAAAACAGTGGTCCTTACTATCTCAACTTACTACTACTACGAAGATTACATTTCATTTCCTTTTTCAATGTTTCCAGGATTTTGCTTTTTTTTCCTAAGGAAGTTCTAACTCGGAAATGTGTAAAACACAATCGAATAAGACTTCCGGCTGTAGAATTTCATAATCTCCGCAAATTTCAAAAATCCACAAATTTTATGATGACAGTGAGATGTGTGGTATTTTGCAAATGAATGCAAGGATTCGTAGAATAACGTCAAAAACAGCCTGAAGAAATGGAACTGAAGCTTGAACCCGTTGTATCACTCATCTCTTCTCACCACAATAGCAAAAGCTTGTATGATGCCGGAGAAACGTTGCCCATTGCAATACCAAAGAATTTTGTCAAAATATAGAGACAAAATGTCATGGTGAAAATATCCCGATGATTACGTCTTTGGTGAACTTTCCACTATCACAAGTCAATGGGTTACCAAGTTTTCATACTCTCAGATTCTTTTCTTTGAAGATATTTGAAACTCGACAGATCAGAAAGCCAGAAAAAAGTAAGAAACAAACTATATGCACAGTTTGAAGTTTTCTTGTGGGCACAATAAGCAGACTAAACCTTTTTCAGTGAGGAGACTGAAAATTCAAAAGAAATAATAGTTCTGAATGAAAGTAATGAGATGACCCAGTAAGTTGTCAAGAAATTCCAGAATCCAAGATGGGCAGGATCCTAAATTATAGACCTGAATAAAAACCCGAATCTCGCTTATAAATTGTCAGGAATGATATTTAAAATTTCAGTGCATGCAGTGGATTCTACTGATGGAAAAGAATAGAAGAATGTGATAGATGGAGAGCTGCCTTTAAAATATAGAAAACAGCGATGATATTTATAAACAGAACTAAGTGGATACAAATAAATATAGATATATACGAACAAATATATAAATATATTTTATATATATATAGAATGCAGAATGGAGTGTAGCTGAATATTAGACGAAGGAGAGGATTTCAAAGCAGGTCTGAATGGTTGCAAACACCGTAATCCGGATGTATGTGTATGTTTGGTGATGTATTGGACATCGATCTCTGTTCACAGATAACAAGCTATATGCGCGACGGGCTCAACACCCCGGGTACCCTTCCTGGGCAGACGATGTCCCCGCCCGTGTTTTCATGCCCGTCCCTTCCACATACACTACACTTCGGTCCGTCGTGGAATCCTCCCTTTAGCAACTCGTCTGCTTGTTTACTCCAACCAGTTACGCCATTTGGAAAGCAAACTGGAGGAAATCATCAATCGTAATCCACACCCTTATCACTATCCAATTTCCTATACTCACCGCTTGTTATCCATTTTCTGCACATTCGCAGAAATTCCAGTTAACTTATGCTAATCTGCTTAACGAAATCAAAAATTTGTGAAATCCATCAGAATAGAAACAAATTCAACACTGAAACCCAAAGTACCGAAGATTGGAAAGGATGAAGGTAATGAAGGTAACACAGACATCTAAAATTGTTGTGGATCACTTAGCAGAAAATGAGAAATTTTGTCGATATCAGCAAAAAGAAGTCAAACTCAACGAGCTAAGCGTAATTAAAATCAGAAGAACTTACTCTACTTATCTTCTTCAGTTGAAATGTATAAAATGACGGACGATCAGTGACTTCCACGACTTCCACACTTGCACCTCTACTTAGCTAACTTTGTAGCTTACTTCCGTTAAGAGCGAAAAGGCAGCCCGGTGGGGAGCGCCGTGATTGCTGTGATTAAATCCTGTAAAATTCCTTCTAGATGAAATGCATTGAAAAAAAGGAAAAAAATGTAAATAATTTCAGACATACGGTCATATCCGCCAATTTTGTTACGTGATGATATCAGTTCAAAAATCTGGAATAGCAACTAACATATTCATCGTTTATGTAAAAAAGCCTGATGTAGATATTTATTATAATAGTTTATATTTAGAATTTTGTTTTGATAAGGCAAAGGTTTTAAAAATTTGGCTTTTTAGTATCATTTTGGTATTTTTGTTTTCCAAACAAAAGGTGTTTGAGCTAATAATTTATTTGCAAAACTGTGTTCCCTGTTCTGAGTAGTTCCTATGTCTTTTGTTGTTATTATGTTCATAATTATTGTTCTCATATTACTTTCTTTTGGTTTTTTTGCTATGGCCTTACTAGCAGTAGTGTTTGTTTCTTTGGTGACAATTCTTTTAAGTTTAACATTAAAAATAGAGATAGTCGTATAATTGAGTTGTTCTTGCAAGTGTTAATTATTAATTTTTTAATTGTAATAGTTGGGCCAGGATTTTGATTAATTCGATATCAGGGTAGAATATTTTATCGACCTAAGTTAACTTTGAAAATTATTGGCCATCAGTGTTATAGAAGGCATGAATATGGGGATAGTAGTAATCTATGTTTTGATTCTTTTATAAAATCTTTAGATGATTTAAATGTTGGCGAGTTTGTTTAGAAAACTGGGATAGAAATGAGTGAAACAAAAATTCCTGACATACGTCATGATACCTCTAAATATCTCACAGAGTTTTGGACAAAACAGCTTAGGCCATTCGAAGAAGGTGGAACTCGAATGGTAAGTTGTTGATATCGCGAAAGACTTGTAATCGTTATCTTAATTAACTAAAGAAAAAAAGAAGCAATTTTCAATATAAACTTACAAGACCGAAAATACAAATACCAACAGCATTGCCATGAAAAAAAGGGTATCTGAAAATCTGAAACGTACCATGATCAGGTAAATATATTTTAAATATACTTATGAACAATGCAAAAAGTCATTTAAATCTAAACCGAACTTTATTCAAATAGTCTCCCTTCGAAGAACACGAGATTTTTGCGGATTACTTAGGTTTTCCACTCGAGGAAATGAAATGTGTTTTTAAAAAATGCGGATAAAATTGGTCAAAGATTAATAAGAAAAATTGTTTAGAAAAAAATAGGGAACACTTTGTGGAGATGATGTGTATATATATATATATATATATATATATATGATGTATATATGAGTGGAAAAGGAGAAAAGGAGATAGGGAAAGGAACAGGTAGAACTATTATATATTTAAGTGAAAATCAACGGTGATCGGATGGATGAAATGCACAACTAAGAGTGGAAGGGACCACATCCTTGAACGTCCACGAAATGACCTTGGCGCTCCTCCCCAATCAAGATTATCCAAAACGATCCGGGATGCGACATCGTGAGAGAATGGGAGAATGGAGAGATCGGATCCTCCTTCACTCTTTTCGATAAATAACTACATCTCCATTCACATCTATGGTATCCTCCGCTGTTATTTTTTGCAAAACAGTTTATATGCATTTCTTCCAGCACTTGCTTCCCTCACATCCTGTATTACTTCCTCTTTTTTCCCTCATCTCCATTTCATCAATAAGTCCACTAACTCATAAGCGGTACTCGTATTATCTTTCCTATCCTTCCTATCAGTGACAGTCCGCATGATACAAAACAAGTATACACTTTACAACATTCCCGAGTAATCGTTTCCACTCATTAAAAAAGGAGAAGTGGGGGGCGTTTCACAAAGAAGTGCACAATCAGGGAATATATCGAGACCCTAACTAGCAATAAGTACAGAGGATAGGAGGAACCTGTATGTGACATTTCCCGTCATCATTACCTGAACGTCACAACAAACTTCTTGCCCTTATTTCTACAAGCTCTCCTGATGTGATGATAAGCCCTTAAAATTACTAATTCGAAACAAAAATTTTTTGACAAACGCATCTGATAAAGGGTTGGGTATGACGGATCGGAAGGTTGGATCAGTAACTGACAATGGCGAAAGGATTAGTATGAGAATCAGTGAAACAATGTTGAGCTAAAAAGCTACCATATTGGAAACTGTGAGGTTTCGAGTTGATGGGAGGATAGGAATGCAACTCACACAGATACATATATGCGCAGAGCCAATAACAGTATACATAACAGTGAGACAGCTTTTAGCGCCGATGTTTGGGAAAGTGGTGATGATCTGTTCCAGCGATCCATCCGGGACATCGAAAGCCATTATCGGGCTTGCCTCCCTCCTCTTCCTCACTCTCAGCTTTCAGCAGTGATAAACAAAAGAACCGATAGTTCCTCCTCCGACTGCTTTTAACTCCTGAAAGCTGCTGCAGTTTGCAGCTATCAGAGAGCCTACCCTACATAACCTATATCAAGATTTCCTACACTTTAACACCAGTATTGTTGTCATTATGAATTTTATCGTTATTTCGATGCTGTTATTTGCACTACCATTGTCGTTGTCTCCGTGATATCACTGTGATTCCCCTAACATCGCCATCGTTATCATTACTATCACTCTCACTATCACTATCATTATTCCGGGTCACCACCATAACCTTATCGGTTTCATAAGCACCAACTTATTGTCAATAGTAATTCCAAGTGATGGATCACCTGTTGTGCGACTTAACAGATTTACACCACAGAGATTCATTTTCCTGGAAGATTTGTATTTCCATTTATATATTCACCAATAGAAAGAAGAATACGTTGAAAAGAATAAAACAAGCGAGTGGAATTAGTAATCAATTGCAAGCAGACTTGGAAATTTTCGAAATTTTTGAAATTGCAAACTAGCAGGAAAACAAAACTTATAAATTAGAATTAAAATTAATATGTTGAAGAAGCTTCTTTCTGAATTTTTAAGTCCTAAGTTCGGAATCGCTTTCTTTGAGGAAATATTCCAAAATCTGATAGGTAATATCACAGGTAGGAAAGGGTGGGGTAGATGTAAGGAATGAATTAACTGGTTACGACGAAACGGATGAAGAGGAGAGAGAAGGATGGTAGTGGTGGCGTAAGAGTGAAGGTCGGATGATTGTTTTGTACGGGAAAATGCGACAGGGTGAACTTGATACACTAGGGCGAACGAATCGTCTCGAACCGACCTAATTTTCCTTATCAACTTTCTGCTCTGACTACTTTCCCCCCGACCAAAAGGCATATGTTCTGAGCAAAGAAAATCCGGACGATCACACCGCTTTACTTCTTTTCACCCTTCAGGGACTCGACTTTTTGCGGCTCCGGTCTCCCAAGCCACCTCATCTTCTCCTCTCCACTGCTTTTCTTCCAGAAAATTTTTCTTTCGTATTTCGTAATCAAATAAAGTCAAGTTACTGGGAGAATTTTATGGATAATAGGTTTAAATGGATAGTTGCAAGTTGCTGCATGATATATTCCACTTTCAAATGATTAAGGTCAGTGAAGAGACGAATAAATTGAATTTCGATGTAATTTTTCATTTTTCGGGCAGTTGAGGTGAGGTCGTAGTGCCATCTATGAAATACTTGGAGCTGGACTTAATCCAAAATTTCAAGATGTTTACAGTACAAAGAACCCAAAACACCACTAGCAGAACAATTCAATCAACCAAGAATTAAAAGCACTATGAGCACCTTTCCTTGCACTTTCTTATGACCTTTTAACATATGTCATGAAATGAAGATAAGGATAAAAAGTTTCTGATAACAACTTAATATCACCTTATTTTCTGATATACCTATTAAGAACTATATCGTAACCCATATTTTTTGATCAGGCAATAACCATCTCTTATCATTTTTTTTAACGAACATTAAAATTCGTATGGGGAGTTTAAAATATAGCATGATGACCTGATGATGATGACTACCTTGTTAACTTTTTTCTTGCAATAGAGACGATAAACAAAGGTCAACAGTATCATTACTAATGAGAAACTGCGTTGCACTTTGCATGATTTCAACGGATGAATAACGGTATCAGTAAGATTTTTCATGGCGGCTGGACAAAACAGTACCACTTTTTGACTACATTAATGAAGAGTGGTAATCGGACAGTTGAGAAAAGATATTATAATAATTATTTTGGATCAGACGGTCAAGGAATATATATATATATATCAGACGGTCAAGGAATATATATATATTCCTTTGAATAATTATTTTGGATCAGACGGTCAAGGAATATATATATATATATATCAGACGGTCAAGGAATATATATATATTCCTTGACCGTCTGATCCAAAGTAATTATTATCCAACACAAAAATTAATGTAGTCAAAATATATATATATATCAGTATTGAATATCTGATTTTGTGAAAATACAAAGCGGGATCGGCAGATGCACCAAAGCTTCTAGAAGGAACCAAATTATTTTAAAATTAAAAAGTTAAAAAGGATGTAATAGATTATAGAAACGCTAATGCTCAGGGAATTCATATATACAATGCTGCTTTGAGGTCAATGAGAAATCATAATTATAGCTGAGGATGTCCATTTATAGAAGATATATGGGGCGAAGGCAATGGCAAAAGCATCAAGAGATCTATGCTAACCTAAAATGGATTCTCTACCGCGACTTCTCCACAGAGAATATGGATTTCTTGACAGTAGGACAATAGCCCGGATCTTGGTTGCATTACGCAGAAAATGGAATTTAGTTTGGAGGACGATTACAAAATGTGGGTAGTTTTGATTGCTGCACAGACGTAACAGCACTCGCTCTTCAATCCTTAGGTGATGTGTATTGTGGTAGTAAACGGTGATGGTGGTTCTAGTAGGCCCCTGTTTCTTCGCCTTCCCGTTCGGTTGGGCTGGGTTGAGTATCGGCGATCAGCATCTGTCTCCCCGGAGGCCGACCGCCCGCCCTCCTACATCTTTCCAAACTTTTCATTTTGCCGAATGTCACGAGCCTCCACAGAATGAATCTCATGGCAAAACAGAAGAAGGCAGGAGGGACAGCGACAGCACTGTTTATGCAGCAACCGTCATTCGAAACCCAAACACTATTAAACGTTCACTTAATAAATGTTCCACGAAGAGCGCATCATTCCTTCTTTACTTTCCCTCCGTGTTCCATTCCTGTCCCTGATTCATACTATTCCCGCCGTCTGTTTCTACGGCTCATCCTGTTTCTTCCCCCTATCACACTCTTCTAAATTACCAAAACGAACACCGATTTAGAATTGATTTTATCATCTAGAATATTGTATAATGAATTTGGTTTCTCATTACTTCAGGAGCAAGCGGACACAAGCCTTAGTGAAATCCAGAAAAGTGAAAGGTTTAATAAGTATATAATTGCATTTTATGTGTAAAATAAAATGAAAAAAAAATATAGAATCCGGAACTCTGAAAGCTTAGATTGCATTATGGAAAATTGATTTGAATCAAGCAAATTTCACTTGTTTTCTTCACAGCAAAATGGCATATTTCCGTGGCAACCATCCTTGAAATTGCTTGGACTCTAATTGGTCCCGTACCAATTAGGAAAAGGATATATGAAAATCTCAGGATGGCGCATCGTCTCATTTTCAACCGTATAAAATTGCTTGTCAAAAATACAAATAACAATTTTCTCTTTAATTCGACTTAATCGTACTTTACTAAACTAATCACTTCTACTTCATTTTGTCACGATTCCTAACAGTAGTGAAAATTAGTGAAAAATTAAACATATATCGAGCCAACTAACTCAATTGGTTGAAACGTTTCGTGGAGATTTCCTAGTATAAAACATCACTATTGATTAAAGAGAAAGGAAAAATCTGATGATTTTATGAATTATTTTGCATAATCGTCTTATGATCTATAGGATTCTTTATAGTAATCATAAAATGATGACAGATAAGATGACGATTTGTAAACGAATCCCATTATTCATATCAGTATTGCTTTATTCTGTCATCATCTTCCATCCCTCTTCTTACCTGATCGAATAATACCTTAACTATCCTGAAGTTTCGAGCAAAACTGTGGGTTAACAAAATTTGCATTTGAAATATCCGTTGAACTGACAAGAAAATACAGTTTGTGAGCCAGCCATGGTTGATAACATTGTTTGAGATGATTATTACAGTCGTATAGTGCTTTGATCCAATGCATGCAAAATAGAAATTGTTTTAGTGTTGGACAGCTGTTGAACATGTGCGTATTTTGTTATGCTTTAGACACTTCTTCCGAGGATTTCTTTGGTACGTCAATGATTATAATGGCGGCTCTTGCAAACAAAATTTCTTTGAGCTTGGAAATTCATTGCATGCCGTATCTCTCTTAAATAGTCAATTTCTCATGCATGAAAGCTTTTCATCCAGTTAGCTCTGGAAGATTTCATCGGCGGATAAAAATCTTACATGCAAAAAATTTTGGGTACTGACAACAAAGAGCTGGGCGGTTTTTTATTCCGTTTGCACATCCAGCTACGCTTTGTTAAATTGCTTTAGCTTACTGTAAAGCTTTTTATCCATAAAGATTGAAAATGGTTATATCAAAAAGAAGTCATCTCAAACGAGCTGTCATCTCAAACGAGCTGTCCATATCAGCCAAATCACATAGTTAATAAATGCAAATCAGATGAGTGCTTTTGTATTATTCTTTTGTATTATTTTTGTATTATTCTTTTGTATTATTTTTAAGTGTGAATGTATGAGAGTATATATATGCATATGCATGCATGTATATATCTTGCAGTTTACGTGCGTTATTTTTCATGGCGCTTTTGGTCAACAAACATGAGGGATGAGGTTCCTCCAGCTAACTGTTGGGATTGGCAGTCATTTTATTAGTTTTATGGATTGAAAAGCTTTATCCTAGTATATTATGAAAGCAGATTGGGAACTATTTCTTGTAACACTGACAACACTTCTGAGCATATAAATTATAAAAAATGGATAAAGAATTACGGATAACTAATCGATCAATTAATTCGCGCGGCCTCTAGATCAATTTTTCGGGAAATGAAGCCTGTCATCTTTTACACACCATAAGAGCAATGGTTTGATTTCCTGTGCATGTTTCAGAAATAGCATGATGATAAAGATGAACTTCCGGTCTCACGTTTCATCGATAACATTGGCGCCAGATGGTGTTAGTTGAATAAGCAGGATGATGTGCTTTCTGCGCTTCTTCTTTATATGGACAGTTCTGGCAGATAAACAAACATGGATAAACGAGGAGATATAACCTTAGAACATTGCAAATGTTTTTAATTTGAATTGTTATCAAGTTTTATCACTATTTCATAAAACTGTAAGAAATGCCTATTTTTTATAATTCTCATGATTATTTTAAACAAAAATTCACACTAAATGCGTGTGGTCTCTTCACTTGTACCTTTCACAGTTTCTCAATATGATAATTTGGATCAGAATGTTCATTCCCTTAGTTTCTTTGGAACTAACAAAATTTTTCGAAGCTCAATTAATGTTAAAGGACTAACTATTTGGGGACGGTTGCTTCGAAGATTTCAATCGTGCATTGGTTTTTTTTTATAAAAAACATTGATTTTCCGATGCATGGACATGAACTGTTGTAATTGAAATAATGAAATATTAGAATGTAATGAAATCGTATGTTTCCGCAGGATAAAATTTCACTGTGAAAGTATTGTTATGCAGTAAATGTGCGGAGAAATGAAAGCACAATTTAAACGGGACAGTACAAACATTTCGTTCAAGTTCATCGAAATTTTCGCTTTTACTAAGTATGCCTGTATGTGTAGGTATCTGCATATGTGTGTATGTATATGTATGTGTGTGTGTCCACCTATCTGTATTTTTACATGATGAGTGGGTGGGTGCGTACATACCTACATTCACCAACGAAAACTTTCATTTCCTGGTGGAAGGATGTATATGGTGGTGGTGACTGCTACTGGAGAGCGAAAAAGAAGGTGGCCGTGGCCGTGGCCGTAGCCGCGGCCGCCATTCGAGTGGAGGTTGCGCAAGGATAATGCCATGAAAACTGGAGCAGGGAGCGAGAATTAAATGGATTCTACCCTCACCTCCTCCGGGTGCGTTCATCTTCCAATTTTGCCTTTATCGGGGCAATTGAAATGATTTGGTTTGGCCTTGAAGATAAACTGATGAGTCGGGAATGATTGTAAACTGAAAGGGAGTGGCAAAAGTTCGGAATTCTGATGAGACTGGAAAAGAAGAAAAGAGAAAAGAAGAGTAAGATCACCGGCCGAAATCATCTTACCATCACCGATCGACATCCCGACATATTTAGTCATTTTCCGCAAAATGAAAAGGTTCATAACCCCGGAGAAACGCTCTCCCTTCTCTTCTTGTAAACTTCAAAACTGGCCTTTGCAAACAACACATCAGTGATAACATGACAACTGCAGATATTTCTACTTAAAATTCAAATTTTGGGACTTAAATTAAATGTATTAATTATGGAGTCGAACTCTTTCAATTGTTACTTTAATCTCGAATGGTTATATTGCCGTCAGTAAACCTATGTTCTTCATATCAAGTCATCTGGACACATGTTTCCCTGAATGGGTATAGAATGCTTGCTAGTATGTATTCAGAACTTAAATTCGGCAGTGATTACTGGAGTGGATGCTTAACGGACAGCATTGATTGATTCCATTCTCGTAAGAATGAAATGCAGCAGGAATCCCCAAAATTTTGTTTGAAGAAAGATAAATTACCCATTGAATATGAGAATGGCGTGTATTGTAGATGGATTTGAAAATTAAAAATGTGAAATTGAAAAATTTGAAAATGCGGTGATAGTCTTATGTCACGACAGTGAACTAACAAAAGACGGAAATTGTCTTGTTGATAACGTGGGAATCAAGTAGAACGTTTGATTAGTTGGTGTCGCGTCTTTCAGCAATTCACGGGCGTGTTCCGTTTTACTCCTTCGCTATGGAAAAATTCACCGTACTGAATAATCGGAAATACTTCAGAAATGATTGATACATTTATAGGCATAGGATATCGATAACTCGGTACCCATAAGCGATAACCGAACAAATTTCTACTTTTTTAATGCTTTCAAATTTAGTATTCGTTAAAATGAACTTATGAAAAATAATGATACTTTGTTGGAAAAGCATTCAAGAGATCTGACGGACATCTCGGATACATTTCACTTTCTCGACTGAATGATCATGAATGACAGCACTTACACTTGGAAAGAGATCAAGGTGGTCATCCAAAACTTTCTCCGAACTTTCTCTCTATCTTCGCTTTTAAAAAATCCAGAACGCGGATAACCAGATGAGATATTTATATTATCAGAAGCATAAACTTTTGAACCGTTTCATCGATCGAAGTAATTTTTTGTTTTTAAACGTAATTCAAAATCATAGATTACTGTCGCTTTTCATGATTACTGCTAATTATTCCATTTCACTCTATTATGACCAAATCAAAACAATAAAATGCAAACAAAATAAAATAATAATTTGCGAAACTCTTGAAGCTAAGAAGTTTTCCGGAATTTCTGCGGTTATAAGTTGCCTGTGAAACTAAAATAATTATGCGTAGCTTATAAAATAGGAGCATAGACTTCGCGAAACATTCTGAAAACTGCCAAAATTTTGTAATCTCTTACCATTACTTTCTAGTATAGAAGTGGTACATAGTGGTATCCCCTTGAAATGTTTTGGTGTACATCAGAGGCTTAAAATTAACTGAGGAGTTAATAATTCATATTTAATCAAAAATTCGCGATATTTTAATCGGAAATCAGTATATCATAAATCAAAAGCAGTGTATTGTAATGAAAAAAAATTCTTCGCTCCATCACTGAAAATTAAAACTACAGAAATGCTATACTACTTAATTGCTAAGAATGAAATTGCAAGTTTTATGAGTTTCATTGAAAATTAAACGGAACGCAATCTCACAAAGAACCGATCTGATAATTAGTTACAAGTCGGCAGTAGTTTTCAAATTAAAGCTGTAATTTTAAAAAATGGGAACTTTCTGCTCTCATGATTATATGATAGAAATAAGATGATTCAAGCAAAAAAATTCAGTATTATAAAAAACCCAAGGAGGTGAAGAAATGAACTGAAATGGAAAGATTGTTTCATTCAAAATTTATAAGATGATAATTTGGAAAAGAAAGCAA